CGGAACCACAGATCAAAACTCTGCACTAGCTTCATGTCCAAGACACATCCCAGTCACATATACCCGACCTCTGAGGATACCCAACCACCAAAGTAATACTCAGTCCAATTCCCCACCTTGGCTCATGCATGAGGTCACCTGATTGCCATGGTTCTTGCTTGCTTGGGCCCTTCCTCCATTGCTGGCTGACTCTCTATCCCAAGCTCATAATCAGCCCAGGGGGTAATGGCTGTCCCTCCTCACCGAGGCAGTCACAACTTGGCAGCAGGGCACACCTCCCTCCTCAGGAGAGGGGTCTAATTGCCCCCGTAGTGACAATTGGAATTACAGATGAGCCCCCAAATTGTTAGAAATAAGGTGAACCCCCAAAACCAGGGGTCCTGGCAGAATACAAAGCATACTCGGGAGCCAGATAGTAAGGCAAATATCGTTAACTCCTGCAGGAGGGTGCACAGACACATAGTCTGGCAGCACATACACACTGAGCAGGTGATCTGCTCAGGGTTTTATGCCCTACGCACGTGATCTGTCCCTCACTCTTGATTGGTCAGAGCTTAGACTCACAGTCTTGTGCAATTGGCTAATTTAAAGGAAGGAGTTGACCTTTGTTATTTCAAAATGGTGGCCCCCAGGGGAGCTGCAAGTCACGAGGGCCAACATGGTGGCTGCCTAAACTACCTTCTTTGTGTTAACGTAAAAAAACCATTGAAACCTGTAAAGAATTTTGTGAGTTTATTTGAGCCAAACTGTGAACATATGCCGGGAAGCAGAAGCTCAACGAATTGAGATAGTGCTCCGGAGAATGGCAGGGTTACATCCGTATTTATACATGAAATTCATTGGTGACAGATTTAAGGAGGTGGGATTAAGCAAAGCAGGGGAAACCTCTGTGATAGGATAAAAAGTAAAATGATGAACACATACTTAGGTGGGTGCAGGATCAATTAACATGATAATGAAGGAATTTGTAGTATCTGTCCTGGCACCGAGAACATTTGGTTGTGCCCCAGGGGCTCCAGAAAAAGGGAAGTTACAAGTTACCCAGACATTTCAAGGGTATGTTATCTTAGAGGCAAAAAGGCAAATGGGCTCAGTAAGGATCAAAGTTGATCTCGTCAGTGAAGATACTGGCCTAGGACATAACTGCCCACCATAACTGCTTTTAGTTAAAGTTTAATTTCAGACCATCCTTTGTGGTTATTTTAGGTCTCTGAGTCTGCTAGGCTGCCACACAGGCCTTCCCTGAGCTTGTCAGGTCAGCGTGTGGCCCCTTTCGTCCACATTTGACAGAAAAGATTACTTGTTTATTCTCACATATTCTTTGATTTGAGAGAGAGAGAGAGAGAGGAAGGAAGGGAGAGGGAGAGAGAGATAAAATCATTGATCAGCTGCCTCCTGCACGCCCCCTACTGGGGATCGAGCCCACAACCTGGGCACGTGTCCTGACCAGGAATTAAAACTGGTGACCTCTCAGTGCATGGAATGATGCTCAACCACTGAACCACACCAGCCAGGGCTGGTGCAACTTTTCTTTATGTTCCCCTTATGCTTGCAGTTAATGGAGCTTCTTGGAATTTTAGGGGTTTATAGTTTTAAATAAGTTTGGATTTTTTGGCCATTATTTCTTCAAATATTTGTTCTTTTCCCCTCATTTGGTGACTTCAGTTACATGTCTATCAAGCTACTTGAAGCCACAGTGCAGCTCATTGATACTCTTATGTTTTTAACACTATTTTTTTCTCTGTGCATTTCATTTGGATTTTTCTATTGCTATGCCTATGCAGTCACTGCTCTTAGTATCTAATCTGCTGGTAGTCTCATCTACTGTATTTTTTGTCTCCAGAAATTCTACTTGACTCTTATTTATATGCCCTATCTCTACTTAACTTTTTTTGAACACAGAGAATACAGTTCTGATACCTGCATGTCCTTCTCTGGCAGTTCTAATGTCATGTCAGTTCTGACTGATCATTCTCCACATTGAGGGTCCTGTGTTCCTGCCTCCTTGCATGTCTGGAGACTTCTGACTGTGTGCCTGACACTGCGAGTCTTGTCCTGCGGGGAGCTGGATGTTGTGCATTCCTGCAGGTCTCCTGGACTATGTTCTGGAAAACAGTGGCTTCTTTGGAAGCACTTTGGTTGTTTGGTGTGTGATTTGTTAGTTGAGGCCAAGGCAGCACTCAGGGCTAATTCTCTTCCTACTGGGGAGAGAACGCTCCTGAGCACCTCCCAGATGCCTGTGGGTTGGGTTTCCAGTCTGGCTGTGGAAATAGGAGCATCCCAGACCTTGTGCCCCTCCAGCATTGTTTCCTCTAGCATCTCAGATGGCTCTTCCCTCACATGACATACTAATCAGTCATCTGCTTAATCCCTGAGGGAGGGATCCCTCTGTGTAGTTGCCTCTTCTCTGGTTTTCTGTCCTGTGACTCCAGCTGCTTTCTGTCTCCTCAACTCAGGGTCTGCCTGGCTCTGCCTCAGCTTCCTCTTCTGGGCCTGAAGGCAGGAAGCTGGGGCAATCACAGGGCTCACCATTGTTTCCTGTCTATAAGGGCTCAGTGTCCTTGCTTAATGCTCATTGACTTGAAACCATTCTGATGATTCTGTACCCAATTCCAAAGTGTGTGGGTTTTCTCTACAGCAAGCAATTCTCGCACACCAGCTGGGTGTCCTATAATTTAACTCAGTTTGACATTATCTACTTGAAGATAGCGTCAAACCCCACAGGTTAAGGGCTCAGGACCACAAGAGTGAACGGGTTCAGATGCCAATGGTAAATCCAAGTTGTCACCTGTGCTTCTTTGTGTCAGAGGTTCTCACAGCCATCTCCTCGGGTTCCATTAATTTGCTAGAGTGGCTCACAGAACTCAGAGAAACATTTACTTATGAGGTCACTGTCTTAATGTAAAAATTATAACTCAGGAACAACCAGGTGGAAGAGATGCACAGGACAGGGTATGGGGAAGGGGGAGGGGCTTGCATGCTCTCTGAGCCCAGCACTCTCTCTGCAGCTCCACTTGCCCACCAACTGGGAAGCTCTCCAAACTCCCATCCTTTTGGGTGTTCCTGGAGGCGCCATCACACAGGCATGATTGATTCAACCTCCAGCCCCTTTACCTTACCTCGAGGGACTGAAGCTTCCAACCCTCTAATCCAGGGGTCCTCAAACTTTTTAAACAGGGGGCCAGTTCACTGTCCCTCAGACCGTTGCAGGGCCGGACTATAGTTTTAAAAAAAACTAGTCGGCTGCTAAGCAACAGGCAGCGGCGGCAAAAACACCCAGCGGGCTGGATAAATGTTTTCAGCGGGCCGCAGTTTGAGGACCCCTGCTCTAATCACATGGTTGCTTGTCCTGGCAACCAGCCCTGTCTTAGGGGCTTTCCAAAAGTCACATCCTATATAATAAAAGAGAAACATGCAAATTAACCATCCCTCTGCTATGCTCAAGCCACGCCCACCAGCCAATCAGGAGCAAGTATGCAAATTAACCCAATTAAGATGGCGGCAGCCACGGAGCTGGAGCGAGCGGGAGGCTTGGGTTGCCTCCGGTGATGGAGGAAGCCAAGCTTCCTGCCTGCCCTGGCCGGCCCTGGGATCCGCTCAAAGCTACAAAGTTTCAATTATAGAAGATAAAAAAATCCCAGATACCTGCTTCCAGCTGGCCGTGGTCTCCACTCAAGGAGGGGCTTCCAGCCGGACCTGGGCTCCGCTCAAGGCTACAAAGTTTCAATTATAGAGGATAAATAAATCCCAGAAAAAAAAGAAAAAGAAAAAGAGGCTGGGAGCTTGGGTCAGCCTGAAAACGGCCATCAGCCCCTCACCCAGGCTGGCCAGGCACCCCACGGGACCCCCACCCTGATCCAGGAACCCTTCAGGGCAAACCAGCCAACCCCCACCCGTGCACCAGGCCTCTATCCTATATAATAAAAGGGTAATGTGCAAATTGACCCTAACAGCAGAACGACTGGTCACTATGACACACACTGACCACCAGGGGGCAGACGCTCAATGCAGGTCTGCTCCCTGCTGGCAAGTGGACATCCCCCAAGGACTCCTGGGCTGCCAGAGGGATGTCTGACTGACAGCTTAGGCCCGATCCCCCGGGGAGCGGGCCTAAGCCAGCAGGTGGACATCCCCCGAGGGGTCCCAGTCTATGAGAGGGCACAGGCCGGGCTGAGGGACCCCCCCAAGTGCACAAATTTTTGTGCACTGGGCCTCTATTTATTAACATAAACTCAGGTGTGCGTATTTTGTTTCACGTATTTTGTTTGTTTTAATTGTTTCAACTGGAGGGTGTCTTAGTTCATGCTGCTCTAACAAAGCACCAAAGACAGGGTGGCTTATGAACAACAGAAATGTATTTCTGCGTTTTGGAGGCTGAAAGTCCAAGGGCCGGTGCCAGCACCATTGGATTCTTCTGAGTCATAGATGGCCCTCCTGGCTGTGTCCTCACATGGTGGAAGGAGTGCTGTGGGGTCCCTTTCATAAGGGCACTAACCTCATTTCTAATGGCCCCACCCTCATGATCTTGTCATCCCCCAAAGGTCCCACATCCGAATGCAATCACCTTGGAGGTTAGGCTTCAGCATTTGGGGGGCACACAAACATCCTGTCCATAGCAGAGAGCAGATCCAGTCCCTGTTACACCATCATGACTATAAGTGGAAGCCCTCAGCTGAGGCCCAGATACACCAATCTCTGCCCCTTAGTGGGATGGAATTGGAAGATGTTGCCACTTACCCTACCTTCCATTTGTGAAGCTCAGAGTCACCCATATCTATAATTTGTTGGGTCTTGTAGTTAGTTACAGGCCTAGAACTTGGGCTGGTAACAGCCTGGGGGTGGGGAGGGGCCACAGGGCAGCCGTGTCCCTATGACTTCTGACTCAGGAGGGTAAGTGGCTCCAGGAACAGCTGTGCAGGGAGAACCAGGTGCCTCTGGGGTGGGGCTGTGCCCGGACAGAGGGAGTGCAGCCTGGCTCCAGCTTCACTCTTCATCCCCAGTGACCAGCACTGACTATGACACTGCCGCGGATGCCACCGAGACCTCGTCCTACTTCAGCGCCCAAGGCTACCAGTCCAGGTGGGGGCCGCACAGGGGCGGTAGTGCCCAGCAGGCTGGCAGTCCCCAGCCCTGGCATGGGGGTGGCCGTGCTGGCTTGGACCGACAGAATCCCAGTCCTGGAGGCTTCACCAAGGCCACACGGTCTCTGTCCAGCATGTTAACAAAAGACCTCAGAAGTCATCCAGACTGACCCCACTCCCCTTGCCCTGGACCCCTCACCCATCCACATCATGCTGCCCCTTTCTGTTCCCTGCCAGTCGCGAGCAGGAGGGTGTAGAGTCTACGTCAGAAGAGGGACAATTGCCCCAGGTGGTGGAGGAGCTGAAAGACCTCCAGGTGGCCCCCGGCACACGCCTGGCCAAGTTCCAGCTCAAGGTGAAAGGTGAGGGAGATAGGGCCGGAGGGCTGGGTGGGGTCTCCCACCAGTAGAAGTTAGGTGGTCACTGTGGCCTGGGGGGTCTCCAGGGATCCCCTCAAGTGGAGGACACAGCACCCACAACTCTCTCTGTGGTTTCAGGCTACCCGGTGCCCCGCCTGTACTGGTTCAAAGATGGGCAGCCCCTGACTGCTTCTGCGCACATTCGCATGGTGAACAAGAAGGCACTGCACAGCCTGGAGATCCTGTCGGTTACCAGCGAGGATGCCGGCCAGTACTCCGCCTACGTCAGCAACACTGTGGGTGCCGCTTACTCCTCTGCCCAGTTACTGGTCCAAGGTGGGTGCTGGGGGCTGATGTCTGCCTGTGTGACCCCCATGGCAGGCCTGGGGTTGGGCCCACGGTCTTCACCCCAGGTGCAGAGGTGTGGTGGGAGCGCAGACACCTGCCTGCCTGCATTCCAGAAGGTGCTGGGTGTGGGAGTGGGAGGGTTCCTCAGAGCCCTCACCCTTGGAGCAGGCCCCGGGCCCACGCAGGACACACTGTCCTACTTCAGGTCTGACTTACCTGCCTCTTTCAGGCCCTAATGACCCAGAAAAGAAGCCGGCAGCAGGTGAGCCGAGTCCAGATGGAGGGAGGGCAGGAGGCTCAGTGAGGGTGGTGGGGGGATGCCCATCGGGTGGAGGGAGGGAGGAACCCTGGGCACAGGCTCCAGGGACAACCACTCAGGTGGGTGGGGGCTTGGGCCTGGGAGGAGGGGCAGAGCCTACCCATCACAGGGCTGTGGCTCTCCACTTGTCACCAGCAGCCTCCTGTGTCTCCCCAGATGTGCAGCAACAGCTGGTGCCACCCCGATTCCTGGAGAAGTTCACCTCTAAGAAGGTGAAGAAAGGCTCCAGTATTACTTTCTCCGTGAAGGTCAAAGGTAGGGCATCCTGTCCTCCTTCACTCAGGATCCCCAGAGAGGATCAGAGGCACTGCCCTTCTAGAATCTCTTCTCAGTGGTGGCTGACTGTCCATCATCCACTCCTGCCCAGGTCTCCCCACCCCCACTGTGCACTGGCTGCGGGAGGAGGCCGAGCAGGTGCTGTGGATTGGCCAGGACACCCCGGGCTACACGGTGGCCAGCTCAGCCCAGCAGCACAGCCTGGTCCTGCTGGACGTGGGTCCACAGCACCAGGGCACCTACACCTGCATCGCATCCAACGCTGCTGGCCAGGCCCTCTGCTCCGCCAGCCTGCATGTCTCTGGCTGTGAGTGGGCGTGGGTGGCCTGTTGGGGATGGGAGGGAGCCACCCTCCCTGAGGACTGTCACCCCCTCTCTGAGACCCTGCCTAGACTCCTCCCTGAGCACAGCCCCCAGGGGCCAGGTCCCATCCCTGCCTGTGGGCTCAGACCAGCAGGCCAAGACCTGTAGCAGCCCCTGCCACCCCAAGCAGTCTCTTCCTGGCCCCCTCAGCCCCTCTGTGGGCAGGTCCATCAAGTGTGGACCCATTCCTGTCCCCACCACTGGGGGGGGGCGAGGGGGTGTGGGCTACATTGGGATGCCGGGCACAGCCTTTCCTTGAGACTCTAGACGGACAGGCCAAGGCCCTACGTAGGGGTGGCCCACACATCCCAGGCAGAGGTCCCCACCAGAATCATCTCAGCGGGTTGGGGTCATTCTGACAGTCACCTGTTCTTCTGACAGTGCCCAAGGAGGCAGGATCAGCGGGAGAGACCGCTGGGGTGAAGGAGGCCCTCATCTCCTCCTTTCTTCAGGGGTGAGTGAGGGCTCCGTCAGAGCTGATGGGGGTGGCTTGGAGTTCTAGAAGCCCTGGGAGGGGGCAGCACTGCTGCCAGGGAGGGAGCCCTATCCTGGACCGCAGCCTGACTCTGTCCCTTGCAAGCTGTGTGGCTTGGGCCAGCCCCCATCCCCCCCCAAATAAAACAACAACTCTGTGCCTCAGTTTCCCCATTGTGAACTGAGGGCTCCCCCGAGCCTGACTGTGGCATCTGGCCCACTGCTCTCAGACTCTTTCTGTCAGAGCTCCCACCCAAGGGTATGTGTGGTGGGTCCACCCCAGGCCCTCAGGATACCCCCACCCCCTTTAGGACCAAAGCCATCTCCGAACAGATGCCTGTGGATTTCACCAACCTTGCTGGGCAGAAAGGTATGGGAGGTGCCAATGGCCGATTCCTAATTTGGGATGGGGTGTGGAGGAGGCTAGCTGGCCCCAGGTGTGGGCCCGATTCTGAGCTCTGGGCCCTGCCAGCCCTTGGCTCAGCTCTCATAGCCAGAGGCTGTGTGGATGCCCAGGTGCAGGGGGCTGCTGAGTCAGAGCTTGGGTGAGGGGCTCCGTATGTTCAGCCCCTTCCCAGGCAACTGCATAGGGCATTCTGGAAACTTGGCATGTTTTTACCTTCTTTATGGAAAATACTGAGTCTGCACAGAAGAGAGGACAGAACCGTGTGCCCATCACCCAATTTAGGGTCACTTCTTGGATCATCTATAGCTACTGACTTTACCTGCCCTCCCCGCCCCCCTGCCCCCGCCAGCGGCCCTCATTCACCCTTAACCCCAGCCACCGAAGTTTGCCCCCGAGCCCTCAGGCCAGCAATCTGGGTCCTGCCCCCTGCCTTCAGTGTCCAGGTGCCGCCCTCCTCTCCCTGCCCCTCCTGCACCCCTTCCCAGATCAGCCGCCAAGTTGGAACCCCAATGGAGAAAGCACAAACCCATTGGGGGCTCCAGTGTCTTCAAGCTCCTCCCCCCCCACCCCCGGCCTCTACCCAGCTTGACCCTCAGCTGCCCTCGCCCAGTGCCCTGCAGCCGCGCTGGCTGCCCGTTCTCCTGACCGCCCACTGCCCTCTCCTGGACCCTGTTTCCCTGCATTTGTAGCCCCTCCATCACACCTTGGCCCAGACACCTGTGAGCCATTGAGGCCCCTTATCCTTGTCAGCTTCTCTGCTTCTGGCAACATAGCCCCGAGCCTGTGTACCCATCTCCCCTGAGCCCCGAGTCAGGATGGGCCTGGAGGGGCTGCTTGGGCTTGTCTGGAGTGCACACTGGCTCAGCTAGGGTCTGACCACCAGGAGAACCCCTGGCAGCCGAGGCCCATGGCCACCTGACCCTGGCTGAGGTGGGCACGGAGGAGTTCCTGCAGAAGCTGACCTCACAAATCACGGAGATGGTGTCGGCCAAGATCACCCAGGGTGAGGGGCTGGCATGGATCAAGGTCCTAGGTGGGGGGTTGTGGGGGTGGTGACCCAGGCCAGAGTCCTCCACACCCACACCCTGGAGACCCATGGGGAGGGGCACAGGGCACTGGCCCTTCCCAGTGTCACATGCCCTGTGCCCCCAGCCAAGCTGCAGGTGCCTGGAGGTGACAGTGATGAGGAGTCCAAGACACCGTCCGCATCTCCCCGTCATGGCCGCTCTCGCCCCTCCTCCAGCGTCCAGGAGTCATCCTCGGAGTCGGAAGACGGGGACTCCCGGGGGGAGGTGCTGGGGGCCCCGGGGGATAATGGGGCCCACGGAGGGGAACAGGAGTGAGGGTGGGAGAGGGAACGGGGGGGGGGAGGGCCTTTGGGCGACAGGGTGGAGGAGGCTGAGGACAAACAGCTGAGCAGCCAACATCACCACCAGGACCCAGGACATCCCAGCACCCCTGAGGCTCCCCCTTGCCCCTCTGGGGTGGCCCCATCCGGCACCCCTGATAGTGTTTCCATCAGCAGAGGTCAGTGGGGCCTGTTTTAGAGCTTCACAGAATGTTAGGATGGCTTCTTCCTCCCACTTAAGGCCAGGGGCCCTGTGGCCTTGGGCCTTGGGAAACCCCGCCGGCTCCCCTCTGGTCTGACGCAGCTCCCTCCTCCCCAGATCTTTGACATCTACGTGGTCACTGCTGACTACCTGCCCCTCGGGGCTGAGCAGGACGCCATCTCGCTGCGGGAGGGCCAGTATGTAGAGGTGCTGGACTCGGCCCACCCTCTGCGCTGGCTTGTGCGCACCAAGCCCACCAAGTCCAGCCCCTCAAGACAGGGCTGGGTGTCCCCTGCCTATCTGGACAAGCGGCTCAAGGTACCTGGACTCCCCAGGGAGGGGGGTAGGTGAGTTCGGGAACCTGACACCCACAGGGCCAGCCCAGCGCCCAGGCCACCTACAACCCTCTCTGTTCCTCATCAGCTGTCGCCTGAGTGGGGGCCCGCTGAGGCCCCCGAGTTCCTCAGGGAGGCCGTGTCTGAGGATGAGTACAGGATGCGGTTGAGGTGAGGAACCATGGTGGGGGGGTCTTTGGCTGACGAAGTCGGGTGGTGGAGCAACCTTGTGGGGCTGCCCCCTCCACTGTCTTGCTGGTGCCTGTTTAGCATTTGAGCTCTTGGTCCCCTCACACTGTGCCTCCAGCTCCATCGTCCAGGAGCTGCTGGCCTCTGAGCAGGCCTTTGTGGGCAAGCTGCAGTTTCTGCAGAGCCACCACATGCAGCACCTGGACCGCTGCCCCCACGTGCCAGCGGCGGTGGCCAGCCAGAAGGACGTCATCTTCCGCAACGTGCCGGACCTCAGCCAGTTCCACAACAGGTAGGCGGGCCTGTGTGTGCATACACATGTACACACATGCAGACATACCACACACACACACACACGTGTGCATGTACCCTCTGGGTTGGGCCTCCAGGGGTTAGCAGGAGCCAAGACAGACGAGAGAGAAACTGTGTGCACTTGATGTACTTGTTGGAACACCACACCCTTGTACGAAGATACACACATCCTCTGGAACATAGGTGTGCGCACCTGCTTACCCATGGAAGTGCTTGCAGCATTCCTACCTGCTATAGTCTCTGCACATAGGCACACATGCCATTACATGCATAGGAATGGGTTACATGGGCACATGTGTGTACATGTACACAGCCACACAACATATACAGCAGACAATGCACATGCACTACATGTGTGTATCTGTTTGCTTGTGCACACATGCCTACACATACATGCCCCGGTGTACATGCACTTCTATGTATGCACACACACATACCTGCACACATGTGCACACCCTGAAACACCACACACGCACGTCCTCACAGCCCAGCCTGTTCCCAGGAGCCACCAGGACTCTGCCCTGGCAGGAGCCTGTTTCCTCCCAGACCTGGGACAGGCTGGGCAGGGGTGGTGAGCAGGGCCCTGACGCTGTCTCCTCCGCGGCAGCTTCCTGCAGGAGCTGCAGAGCTGCGAGACGGATGACGACGTGGCCATGTGCTTCCTCAAGAACCAGGCGGCCTTCGAGAAGTACCTGGAGTTCCTGGTGGGCCGAGTGCAGGCCGAGTCGGTGGTGGTCAGCACGGCTGTGCAGGAGTTCTACAAGGTGCCCCTGTCCCCCGGCCAGTCTGGCCCCCGTCTCCAAGGTCATCTTCCCTGACCCTGCCCGGCCTCCCACCACCTGCCAGGCCCCCACAGCCGGCCCAGGTCCTGGGGCCCTGGCTTAGTGAGTGAGGCGGGCAGAGCCCCCGCAGCTCTTCTCACCTGTCAGTGACTGGCCGTCACTGGTGGGGGCGGGAGGTGAGGCCCACCCAGAGAGGAGGGTCTATGTGCCTGCTCTGGGTGACGTGGGCCACCCGGGCCTTGCCCTCCTGCCCTGAAACCCACTCTGCGACCCACAGAAATACTCGGAAGAGGTGCTGTCGGCCATTGACCCCTCGCAGCCGCCCCCACCGCCGCTGCAGCACTTCCTGGAGCAGCCGGTGCAGCGGGTGCAGCAGTACCAGGCTCTGCTCAAGGTAGGCAGCTGCCCCTCGCCCACACCACCGTGTCCTGGGCCCGCGTGGCGGGTGCACCCTGACCAGGCCTCTCTCCAGGAGTTGATCCGCAACAAGGCGCGGAACCGGCAGAACTGCGCGCTGCTGGAGCAGGCCTACGCGGTGGTGTCGGCCCTGCCGCAGCGGGCGGAGAACCAGCTGCACGTGTCGCTCATGGAGAACTACCCAGGCACCCTGGAGGCCCTGGGCGAGCCCATTCGCCAGGTCTGCGGTGGGCGCCATGCAGAGTGGGAGGGGGGCAGAGTGGAGGTCTGTGCCTCGGGCTGACCAAGGGCTGACCCCTCTCCCAGGGCCACTTCATTGTGTGGGAAGGGGCACCGGGTGCGCGGATGCCCTGGAAGGGCCACCACCGCCACGTCTTCCTGTTCCGCCACCACCTGGTGGTCTGCAAGCCCAAGAGGGACTCACACACCGACACCTTCAGCTACGTGTTCCGGAACATGATGAAGGTGTGCAGGCACCAGAGGAGCCTGGGTGCCGGCGGGGGGGGTGGGGGGGGGCTGCAGGGTGGGCAGGAGGAGCCCTGGGCCGGTTCTCTGGCCACGTCCCGGGCAGTCAGCCTGCCTCCTCCACCCACAGCTAAGCAGCATCGACCTGAACGAGCAGGTAGAGGGGGACGACCGTGCCTTCGAGGTGTGGCACGAGCGGGAGGACTCGGTGCGCAAGTACCTCCTGCAGGCTCGGACCGTCATCACCAAGAACGCGTGGGTGAAGGAGATCTGCGGCATCCAGCAGCGCTTGGCCCTCCCCGTCTGGCGTGAGTGCTGGTCCTAGCAGTGAGGTCGGATGGGGGATCAAACCTGCCAGCCAGGCCATCTGGCTCAGGACACCCAGGCCCCTGCCCCTGCCTAGGCAGCACCCCCTCAATCAGTGCAGCCTGAGCTGAGATGCTGGGATGGCTATGACTCGAGTGGGGCCATCAGGTTTCACTCAGGGGCCCTCAGCATAGCATAGAAGCCCAGAGGGGTTAGGGGTGTGAAAGGTCTGATCCCTGGGTCTCCTTTCCCCTCTAGAGCACACTCTCCTCTCCATACACCCCACCACTCCCCAATACACCCAGCCTGATGCTGATTCAGATTCCCATTCGGGCCCAGTGAGGGACCCAAAGGGGTGGGGATTGCAGCAACCACACTGCTCGGCCTTGGGACTTCTGGCCCTACCAGGGGTACACTGGGGGCAGGGTAAGCACTCGGCCCAGGTGTGTGGTGTGTGTTCCCAGGGCCCCCGGATTTCGAGGAAGAGCTGGCCGACTGTACAGCCGAGCTGGGTGAAACAGTCAAGCTGGCCTGCCGTGTGACGGGCACACCCAAGCCCATCGTCAGCTGGTACAAAGGTAGGTCCCCATGGGCTGAAGGTGCTGGCCTTGCCACAAGGAAGAGCCGCCCAGAAGGAATCAGGCTAGGTGGGGACCAGGACCCAGGGTAGGGCCTGGTCAGGGGCTGGGTGCCAGGGACAGGCCTCCTGCCCCTGTTGCCTGCTCCCAAATCAAAGACAGCATGGCCAGGGCGCATGAGGTGGGATGAAGGGAGAGGGTATGCATCAACCCTGTCCATGGGAGCTGACTGTCTAGGGGAGTGGACAGGCGGCAGCAGACAGACAAAGGTGTAACGGGAAGTCAGAACAAGGCACAGCCAGGCACACCTGTTGGAGGCTTCCGAAGAGCAGTGAGGTGGCCAGGAGGCCAGGGAGAGGGGGCGCCGTGGCAGAACAGTGGGAGATGTGGGCTGCCATGGGGTCTCACATTTGATTGAGTGATGGGAGCTGCAGAGAGTTCAGGGATCCCCAAAACCACCCTCATTCTGACAGCAAGGTCCGGGGTCCCATGACTCCTGTTAGGTTCAGATTCACTGGGGACTCACAGAACTCAGCAGAGCCCTTCCACCGAGGTTCCAGTTGATTGCTATGAAAAGGAGAGGGGTGTGGGGCGGGGCCTGGCAGGGGTGCCGGTGGGTTGGGCAGACAGTGCCTATGCTCCCAGCTCTGATGTTTGACAGCACACGGAGAGTGGCCACCTAGGGGCTCTCATCAAGCCTTGGTGCCCCAGGTTCCTGTTGGGGGTCATTCGTGTTGTCACGACTGACTGCTGCATGGCTGACCTCAGTCACAGCCCCTCCAGGGGTCAAGCTGATGCTGCGTGTCCCAGAGCCCCCATGCTAAACCACAATGTAGCACAGACCGTTCAGAGTGGCCCAAGACCCCAGGTAAACCGGGATACTCTTGTCAGAGGTCACCTGGGAGGGCAGATAAGCCTCATCTGGGCTGGCAGGTAGGCCTCTGAGACCCTAGTTCGGTGTGAATAACCAAGTCCAGTCCTGGTTTCAGAGGAGTCATCCAGGGCTGTCAGTCCTTGTCCTACTTGTCCACACCTAGCCAGGGGCATTTGTTTGCCCTTACGGGCTAAGGATGGGGCTGGAGAGGACACACGGGCGTTTTGCTGGGACATGCAGGAGGGGCCTCCCTGTGGCCCATGGTCAGAGCTGCATGGCAGACCTGTGGATGCAGCAGCTGGTTCCTGTGGCAGCTTAAAAGAGCTTCCTGGGGTCTTCCTTCTAGAGGGAGGCCTGCTGGCCCACGTCTTGGGGTCCACGCAGTCCCTTCCCATACACCTCGCCCTTTCCAATACCCCTCCGCACCCAGACCTTTCCGCTGAAGGGCGGGCTCAGAGGGACAGTGCAATTCATAAAGGTCCTCCAGAAGTGACCGGCATTCCTCGGGCCCTCCTTTTGGCCAGATTGTCCTCAGGAGCATGTGCTGGCCTGCCACATCCGAGGGGAATGGGGTGTACCTCACTCTGCGGTCGGGGTGGAGTCCTGGGTTCTTAACTGCGCCTCTGTCTCTTTCACCCTGGCGGTTACCCAGTGAAACCCTGGAGGGAATGGGCCCTCTGGGGACAGCTGTGTCCAGTGAGTGCAAGAAGTGAGGGGAAGCTGGACCGACGGCTCACGTTGACATGGTGGTCAAACTGCAGGTGGTCCGAGTGGCGCATGCAGCCATGGGGTGTGGCCAGAGCCAGCAGTTGGCTGACCCGAAACACCATTATGATGGGAAACACCACAGATAGCTCTTGAGGCACTGACCTGCCAGGATAGGGGTCCGCTCATGTGATGCGCCCTCACCCGGACTAGAGCATTTCTCAGCAGTCCTCTGTGTGGCTGCAGTGGAGTCGGCGCCCTGCACCCCATGGCAGCTCCACGCAGAACCCTGGTGCTGGGTGGGAGCCCATCAGCAGCCTTCCTTTGCCTCAGTGGCTCATGGCCCAAGGTGGGGGTGTCTTCCGCCAGGCCACTATATTTAAGTGGCAAAACAAACAGCCAAGCCACTTGCAACTCCTCAAGGTCAGTGAGCACATAACAATCTTGGCCGGAAAGAGCAGCATCGGGCAGAAGTCAGACTCACCAGCAGACAAAATGTCCTCATACAGCAGGAGCTGAGTGTTGGGGGCAGAGGGTCAAGTCCCGACCCACCGGGGCAGCTGCCGGGGCAGAGAGCACTGGAGATGTGTATTGGAGACCTTGCCATGAGAATGCAGAGCAGACCTGTTGCAGCCACCCTGCCTACACCAGCTGGAGCCACAGGAGTAGAGACTGGATTGGGCTGGTGACAATCTACTCCCACTGGCTGTACAAGGCTGTTGATTTGGGACGCAGCCTCTCCTGTTACCCAGCTACCTTCACATCACACAGGAGGCCCAGAACCTCCTTTCTCCATGGGGTTCAGAGCATCAACCTGGGAAGGGACTGATTGCTGGGCTGGGCCGGTTCCATGCTCCAGGACCCCCTCTCAATGTGCAGGCATCCCCACCAGGAGTGTCCCCTCCCCAAACACAGCAAACATCAGGGTCTAGAGGTAGAGCCACAGCCACAGTCCCCTGACACTATCTTCCCTGATAACCAGGAACCTTGCGAAGACTCCACCCGTGGAATCCAAGTGCCTGTATCCGGAAGACCTTTGAAGGTCTGAGTTCTCCCCCTGCCCAAGGCCCCAGCATGTAGGACGAGCACGTAGGACCAGAGAGGCTGATGGCCACTCCTGATCATTTTTCTCTTAAAGCAGTGGTGGTTGGGTGGAGGAGAGGAAGGGGCCAGGGATCAAGACACACTTCCACACTTCAGTGACATCCAGTGCTTTGGGCTCGCCCAAACTCTTACCCGGGCAGCATGACCGTCTCTGCTGATGTATCCGTTTCAGCTCTGGGACCCCTTGTCTTAACAGCTGTGTCATCACTCTCTGGGGTTCCATGCCCTTCCACCCACTGGGGTTTAACTTGTATGGTAGTGACCTTTATTATGGGTTGTCCACTTACCAGGTCCTCTCTAGTCTTTCCGTGATGGCTGAATGAGATTTCTGAGGTGGCAGGGCCACCTGTCAGAACACATTCCCTGCGGGCCACTCTTCCAGCTGTCACCACATTCTAGATGCCACCCAGGTGCCACGAGCCATGTGCCAGCCGTCAGTGGCTCCCTGTGGGTCTTTTTCTGTTCAGGTGCCTGTCCTCATAGCCAAAAATCTCACTCGTTCCTGTCCTCTGCCCATCGGGGTTGATGATGGCCCACACGGGTTGTAGCATTTGTTGATGTTTCAGAAGAAGGCTGTGTATGCAAAGCTCTCCTCTAATGCTGAAGGAGCCAAGAGACCAAAGAACGAGGCAGACCATTCCAGCTGGTCGATTAATGAGGTTAACAGGAGACTTACATACAAAAATGCAAGACGGTCAGACCTCCACGCTTTGCCTCCCAGACTGTTTTGTAGCCAGTGAGAGGGTGTCGTGGGAAAGAAGTGTTAATCTAAAGGGAGGGGGACTGCCAGGTGCCGAGGGGGTCTGGCATCAGAGCTGGTTAAGAGACAGACAGGTCCAGGGTGAATCACTCCAGAAGCAGAGCACAGAGTTTCCAGGGGCGGGGCTGGGAGTCAAGGTGGCAGATTAGCTACATCAGGGCCAGCTCTGTCCGCACATAGGAAGCAGGGTGACCCGAGGCTGAACCAACAGCGCAAGGAGAGAGCGTGTCGACCAAGGCACCAACCAGGAATCTGTCTCTGAGCCTCCCTCTCAGCACGCAGACTGCAGCCACCTGCCCAGCTCCTCTCCATTCACAGGCAGCAGGTGGAGAGGTCTGTGACTGCCCAGCTGACCACACAGGTCGGTTGGCATGTCTATCGCCAAGCCCCATGGACCTCCCTCAGGCCCTGTTACTGGCCACCTTCTTTCTCTGCTGGAATGATGTGTCTCTGACTGTGTCTCTTGCTTGTCACCAAACTGAATATCAGAAGCCATGAAGGATCTGAGATGATTTCCTGCCTCCCAGCCAGACACAGACACAAAACCCAGTCAGAGATAAAGACTGCTGGTCACAGGAAAAAAGCACAGCGCTTTGGGTCAGTTGCCCGGATCCCCATGCCCAGGGCCAGATATTAGCTGTGCACAGTGGGTCGCACCACAAGAGAGACCCCAAGATTTAGGAGGTGCTGAGCTTTTGTAGGGCTGCTGACACATCTGCCCGTCCATTCCCCAGAGAGAGAAACGCCTCGGGGGTGGGGGGAGGGGGGAAGGCTCTGTTTCTGTGCCCTGGACAGCCCAGGTGTCTCTGAACAAGGGCCGGAGCTGGTGTCATGTCTGCACAGCAGTGGGCCTCGTGCGATGCCAGAAAGGCCTGGAGAACTGTTCTCTGACAGTAGGCAAGGGCTGAGGAGGCACTGGATTGATGGTGTCACCAGCAGCCTTGCTGAGAGTTGTTCTGTGGGAGATGGAAGCGGGGGTTGGGGTGAGGGGGGGGGGATGCGCGTTGGGAGATGATGAGAAGGAAGCACTGGAGTGAGAACAACTTTCCTGGAACATAGTACAGGGGTGGAGAGAAATGAGGTGGCGGCTGGAGGCTTTGTTTTGTATGTGTTAAAATCATTTTTTAAGGTTTCCTGTGAATTAAAGGTCAAGATTCTGGTTATGAATGGTTGTAACTTAAACCACCTTGTTTAGCACATACAGAGCTATGGGAAAGTGTTTGTTTATGGAATTTTACTTATTTATGGAGGAAAGGGCTCTTCGGAGTGAAAGGTGCACATCTCCCCATTCCTCACCCAGGAAAGAATCACATGATGGCTGGAGACATTAGGTTGGGTGGGTATTCAGACAGCGTGTCTGTTGGGGTTGGGGAGGTCTGCGCCTTGGAGGTGCCTGGAGGTCACAGAATCACTGGCAAGGTGGCTCAGGGTCTGGTTATTGGAATGGGATGTCTTTTGTGGGGTTCGGGCCCCCAGCCTACCCTTGCCTCCAGATAAGAGCCTACCCTCCAAAGGCCACACTGTGCACACGAAGGCCTGGGGACGTACCCAGGGAGCTGCACCTGGCCCTTGTGCTTCAGGCCCGCTCCCTAACCCGTCACTGCCTGTGACCGTGACCCCAGGCAAGCCCGCCTCTTGTCCCGGTGCACCTCTCTATGATGGCCTCCCTCCTTTCCAGATGGGAAGCCAGTGGAGGTGGACCCTCACCACATCCTCATTGAAGACCCTGATGGCTCGTGCACCCTCATCCTGGACAATCTGACCAGCGCTGATTCCGGCCAGTACATGTGTTTTGCGGCCAGCGCTGCCGGCAATGCCAGCACCCTGGGCAAGATCCTGGTGCAGGGTGAGCCTGGGTGGGAGGCTGGATGGGCACCCGGACACACCCACCACAGCAGTCCCCAAGGCGGTGCAGGCATTCGGATGGAGCTGGCAGGGGTTGTGGACGTCTGACCCAAGTCTGGGGGCTCATTGGTCCGGGTGGGGTCCTGCACATTATGCCTTCTCTCTCTTTTTGTCTCTGTGTTCCTCTCTCTGTGTCTCTATCTCTCCATCTTTTCTCTGTCTCTCTACCTCTTCCTTCCTCTTTCTGTGTCTCTCAATCTATCTCTCTGTGTATCTCTTTACCTGTCTCTGTGTTTCTCTCCATTTCTCTCTGTCTCTGTCTCTCTCTGTGTCTCTCCCTTTCTCCTCCCCACCCTCTGGCCCCACAGTCCCTCCAAGGTTTGTGAGCAAGGTCCGGGCAGTGCCTTTTGTGGAAGGAGAGGACACCCAGGTCACCTGCACCATCGAAGGTGCCCCACACCCTCAGATCAGGTGGGTTAGGTGGACAAGGGGGGTGGGCCTGCCCCAGGGCCTCCACTTCTGCCTGTAAATCGAGGGTGGGCAGCTTGTTCACTTTGTTGGGGTCAACTAGACAGAAGCTCAGCCATTTGGGTGAGAAGTGGGTGTCCTGAGGGCTTGGCCTGTCTGACACAGCCCTCGCTGCAGCAAGGAGGGACTGCCAGGCCGGATGTTGGGCAGATGGCATCCAAAAGGGTGGGCGCTATCAGGACACCAGGTCTGTGGGGTGGGTGAGGCGGGTCATGAGCACTGGGGGTTTTGGAGAGGCCCCACTGACTACGGGGCTGCTGGTTTCAGGTGGTACAAGGACGGGGCCCTCCTGACCCCTGGTGGCAAGTACCGGACCCTGAGTGAGCCACGCAGTGGCCTGCTGGTGCTGGAGATCCGGGAGGCCAGCAAGGAGGACCTGGGCCACTATGAGTGTGAGGTGAGCAGGGAGGATGCAGGGAAGTGGTGGGGAGCTTGCCGTGGGGCCACAACCTTGTCATCATCATCGATAACGCATGATGTAGAGCGGACACCAGGTTCAGGCCCCACAGGGTCCATGACAGTACACCAAGTCCACTGTCATGCATGTCCATGGATGAGACAGAAGATATCAGGTCCACTGTCACCACCATCCATGATGAGGGAGGGGACACAGGCTTACTGTCACCTACCATTCATGGTGAGAGATTGTACAACAGACTTACCAAAGTCCATTCTGAGACAGGGGACGCCATGAAACTGTCTCCCACCACCGTGGTGAGAGAGGAGACACCAGACCACTGTCACTCACCTTCTGATGAGAGGGAACACCAGGCCACTGTCGCACACCACCCATTACTAAAGAAGGGAAAACAGGCAACTGCCACCCCATCTATGATGAGCTAACAGGACTCCATAAGCGGGGCTCTGGGCAGGGTCTGTCCTGCCCTTCATGGTCCAGGGACAGTGTGTGCAGGCTGTGTCTGCCTGGGGCCAGCCTCCTCCATGGTACTGCTGCTGGCAGCCTGGGGTGGGCCGGGAGGGGTCTGCCCTCCATGTCAGGTCTCAAGTCAGCTTGGGCCCTGTAAGTTCAATTCGGCCCCATGCTCTACATCCCCAAAAGGGTGAGTCAGGCTCCCTGGACTCTAAGTGGCCTTTGCCGTCTGTGTCTGTCCTGCAGCTGGTGAACCGGCTGGGCTCCGTACGAGACGGCGTGGAGCTGTGCCTGCAGGGCCCTACCCTGCAGGCCAGGGAACCACACCGCCGCAGGGAGCACGTGGCTGTGGTGGAAGGTAGGTGCAGCCGCTGAAGGTCTCAGCCTGGCTGGATTTGCCACGCACATGGGCGGGGCTGGGTGGGGTGACACCATCAGTCCTTCCAATCAGGGTGTGCTCCCTGGAGAAGAGGCATTGGATGGAGGGGCTGCAGAGGCCCGACTGGAATAGAAGGTGGGTGGGACGAGGATGATGGACCATAAACCCAGAACCTGGGCAAGGCTGGACTGACAACTCCAGGGCTCAGGGCCCAGGCCCTGCTCACCATCCCTGGGGAATAACGTATATAGAGGGCAGACCCAGGCCTGGGCAGCCCGTCAGGCAGCGGCCAGCAAGTCCCCATGGGAGGGGTGGGAGGAACGGTAAGTGGGACAACTCCGCCTAAGAGAGGGCCCCAGCCAAGTGCAGAGTGTAGGCTGCTGGGCTCCAGCTTGGCTTTCAGGAGATGGAGCGGGTGTCATGGTTCTGGTCCCTCCATACTAGGCAGGCTGTCCATGTTGAGTATCCCTGGCCTGGGGCCGCCCCTGGGGTCCTGGGAGCGGGAGAGGTGGACCAGACTACAGAATGGGCCTCATTTGGGGAGGAGGGCAGCTCACATCTGTCCTGGGCTGCTCAGTCTGAGAGAGCAGCCTTCTGGGGCTCACAGAGCAGGCTGCCACCATGGGGAGAGCTTCTCCGTCTGAGCTGCCTCACCTGGAAGGGGCTGTCTGGAAGGTGATGAGCCTCCCGTCCCTGGAGACATGCAAGTACAGGCTGGTGGAGCTGCAACTCCCATAATAGGACAAGTTGAAATGTGTGTCCTCCCAAATTCTGAAAGTTGGCTGCTGTGATCCTTGGCCACTAGACCCAGTCCCTCCCAGGACCCAGCGTCTGGGGGCCACTGTCTGGATCCTCACAGAGTCAGCCACCTAGAGTTCAGAACTTGGCCTCAGGGCCTTTGAGACTCTCCAGGGTCCTCACGGAGACCCATCCCTCCCTTGTGGGCAAGGGTTCTGGTTCCTCGTCCCCCAGAGGGCTGCCTGCACTGCCGGCCAGTTCTGCCGGAGGACAGGGCTATCTCTGGCACCTCCACTTCCTGCTGGTGGCACCTCCAGGGGGTGTGCTGAGGATAAGCACGTCCTACAGAGCCGTTCTCTTCACTGTCCTGGTGGATCTTTTCTTGTCAATGTTCCGTGACCGGCCTCCAGTGCGGACAAGTGCTGTGCCTCACTCAGGGAGATGGCCGGTCCTCACAGACCCTGGAATTGGAGCCCGCCACCTCCCGCTTCCTAACCCTGTCCTGCTGCTTTATCGATAACCTGGTGGCCCGCAGCCAGCTGGCCCTGTGGAGTGGGCGCTGCCCCCTCGCTTGTGAAACTGCACTGGGCTGGAAGTCCTGCTTCGCACGTCTGCACCCCTCCCACGGTCGCCAGTACTCACCAGGGCCCAGAGCCTATCAGGCTGCAGTTAGGTCAGGAACAAAGCCATCTAGGGGTGCCAGACCAGCACTCCCAAGAGCACAGGATGGGCCATCAGGGAGGATGAGAGGCAGCGGCCTGGTTCTCCCATTGCTCTGCGCACAGGGTCTGCCCAGCTTAGACAAATCCATGGCATTTTGTCTGAACCCATTCTCCCAGCGGGCTGCCCTCTCTCCAGGAAGCAGCTTGCACAAACACGCACATGCACGCACACACATACACCTGTGTGCACACCCACACAGTAACACACGTACACACGTGTGCACACACAGAGACTCAGCTAGTACATTTCATTCACATGCACCTAATCAGAGACAAGTCTAAAACGCCCTTGGTTGCCTAAGGCAAAGCCTTACTCCATGTGGCTTTGCAGCAAAGCAGAGCCTCCCCTTCAACTTACACAGGACAGTGAGAGGGGATGCTGAGATTTGAGGGAGCTGGTAGCCGGTGGCATCCTTGCTGTCCAGGTGGGCAAGACTGGGTGGGACACCCCTGAGCCAAGCCTGACCCCGCCCAGAAGCTGCAGAAAAGAGGCCTTGAGATGATTAGCATAACTGCTGCCTGGCCCCAGACAAGTCCTGTTCTGTCTCTGGGACTTGGTCCCCCATCACAAGACAGGAGTCACAGGCCCTATCCTGCTGCTCCGGGGAGGAGGAAGCTAGGCGCTCCTGTGAGAAGACCCGGGTTGCCCAGGCATCTGCTGGCTGCCCCCATGGGCCTCTGTGTTCTCCAGCCGTGGAGCTCAGATGCGCCTCCTCCAGGACTCCAGCCATTCTCTCCTAGAGACACCTTTGGTCTTTAGGGGTTTTTTTTCCTGTAAAATGGGCATCAGCTATCCTGGTTCTAGTTTGGCTGCTTGCTCACTGTGCAGCCACAGGCTATTCCTTCCCTCTCTCTAGACCTCAGTTTCTATGTCTGAGAAGTAGGACTTTAGGCCTGACAAATTCCCAGGGTTCCCTAGGCACATAGCTGAAGGAGAAGCTGGGATTCTGTGTGGGCAGCCTAGGAAAGGGCCTTGCTCTGTCTGAAGCTTCTGCAAGACCCTCAAGAGGGACAGGTCCTGCCCGCATGGAGCTCAATGCCCTCATGCATTGCCATACCACTCAAGGCAGACAGATCAGCAGTTCAATGAGGGAACTAGTGCTCTAAGCTGAGACAGTGTCCCAGGGGCACATGGCCCAGCAGGGCTTGGACCCAGTGCTCCTAAGCTGAGCGGGCTAATATACTGCCATGCCACTTAGCTAGCTCAGCCCTACGTGCTGACTGATCTGTAACCCTCGCTATTCCGACTGTTTTCTTTGTAGTCACTGAGCAGGAGACTAAAGTCCCCAAGAAAACCGTCATCATGTAAGTGCAGGCGTGTTTCTAACCTTCCTTCTGACTGCCGTGCCACCTGCATGCCCACTAACCCACCCGGACCTTGCCCGTGTGGTCTGGCACCTGCTTGCCTGACTGCCTGCCCTCACTGTCTTTGCTTGCCACACAGACTGCCAGCACCTTGCAGGTACTGCCAGGGAGTTCACTCCCCTGGGACTTGGCTACCTTCACACTCAGAGCTTTCTCTTTCAGGGCCTCAGAACCCTCTCCATAGCTGCACTGCCTCAGGAGGGTAGACTTACTCTGCACACTTCACAGTGTCTCACCTAGAGTCACACCTGTTAGGGTAGACCTGGGACTGACAACTGTGTCCTGCTGGGCTAGAGGCATACATATTTCTACCTTTCAACACCCTGGGATCTAGGGTGTTGCTGTCCAACAGAATTTCCTGTGAGGATGGAAATATTACAAGTTTACAGTGTCTACTACAGCTGCATGTGACTATTGGGCATTTAAAATGTGTCTAATGCAAATGAAGAACTGAATTTTAAGTTTAACTTTCACTAATTTGACTTCAATTAAAATAGTGTAACCATAGCTCTGGAGCCCTTAGACATCTCCAAGTCCAACCCTCACATTTGAAAGACGGGGAAACTGAGGTTCAGGAAAGAAAAGAGGGTTTCTCAGGGTGGCTTGTGATTCAAAGCTAATGAAACACCCATTTCCCCGGTGCCACACCCACTGTCCTTCTTCCGGGCCTTTAAAGCTGGGGAAAAAAAGACATATGGTTATTATAATTATATAATTATTTAATTATATAATTTAACTATATAATTAAATAACACAGAGGTCCAGAGCTCGTTGAAGCCATGAGGGCGGGATTGGTTTTGACCTGGACAACCTGGAAGGACTTCCAATGGGAGATGTGTGCAGGTGGATGTGGTGGAAGAGCTTGCAAAAGCCAGGAGGCAAGAAAGGCGATCGTTTCCTCAGGCCAGGTGACTGAGAACTCCAGGATGGCAACCTCTTAGTTCCCCAAGGGCCTCAGGCCTCTTAAAGGGCCTACAGTTAGTCATGTTGCTAGAGAATCCCATATTCACACGTTTGATAAGGTCCTGGTTAACCTTCCTTGACTTCCTTCCTCCTCCCACAAAGCAGGTCGACAGCCCACAATAGATGGGGCTGCCTGGGGCAGCAATGAGCACCCCATCCCTTTCCAGGTGAGGGCTGGAGGTATGCAACTACTCTGCAGCTTTACACAGATCAACTCTACATTTCATCCATGAGAGGAGCATTGTTATTTTCACATTTTATGGATGACATAATGAGGAGCAGAAATGGGCCAGGCAGCCCTATGTGGCAGGGGGGTGGGGGTGAAGGGGTGGGGGGTGTCAGAGAGGACTCATGCCAATGGGAGACTGGACTAGGTGACTCCAGGTACCCTAAAGTCCATTGCATTCCAGGCTCATGGTGGTAGCAACTTTCACCCCACAAGGAGTGTACCCGTTCAGCTTGAGAAGTGGAGGGAGGCAACTGCCTGGCACAGCATGCCCCTTGCCAGGGGCACACCACACAGTGAGGGGTAGCGGGGAGCCAGGAGTATGGAAAAGCAACTGGCTTGGAGAGACTACCACCTGGAAGCCCCAGATGCTGTACCAATGGCCTCAGAGCAGGATGCCCACATGCCCTCATGGGAGCAGCAGTGAGCCCAGTAGTGGGAGTGGCATTTTATTTATTTTTTATTTATTTTATTTTTTTATTTTTTTCGTTAATCCTCACCTGAGGATATTTTTCCATTGATTTTTAGAGAGAGTGGACAGGAGGGGGGGGGTGGAGAGAGAGAGAGAAACATTGATATGAGAGAGACACAGCAATCAGTTGCCTCCTGCATGCGCCCTAACCAGGGCCAGGGATGAAATCTGCAACCCAGGTACATGCCCTTGACCAGGAATTGAACTTGTGACCTTTGGGTCATGGGCTGACGCTCCAACCACTGAGCACCACCGGCCAAGGTGGGAGTGCCTTTTAGAGGAGTGATCCAGTTTCCCAGTTCCACCTGACCCACTGTCCTTTCTTAGCCAATTAGGCAGCATGAGGCCAGCAGATGGGACCTGGCCCAGGTTCCCGTGATGCTTGGGCAGACTCTGACCTCTGGGCCTGAGTGTGGGGCAAGAAGGCAGGTTTTGGCCCTGAGTAGGCTCTGACTCCAAACCTCAGTTTCTCCTCAGTGAAGTGGAGATAGCATTTCCCCTTTCCAGGTGAGGGCTGGAGGAGGCAGGACCTCTAACTGCTCTGCACCCTGAGGTGTGGCCACAAATCTCTGGGGCCATGCCTGAGGGTAACTGCTCCTGGATGGAGCCCTGAGTTAGACAAAAGCAACGCTGGAGAAAGAGAGACAACGTCTGATCAGGCAGGCGGCTGGCAACAGCACACCAAGTCCCTCTGCCTGAGCCCAAGAGGAAATGCAGGTCCTGGGGCCCAGGAAAGCTGTGTGTTACTCAGCCCATTGCTGTCCCTGCCTGTTCCTCATTTCGCCCTCAGCACCCAGCCAGGTCAGGGCATTAGACGGCCGAGGAGGACCTAGCTGACTGGTGGGCTTCTGACTCTTGGTCCTGAGAAAGTTTTGAGCCTCTTTGAGTCTTGTCCACTCCCGTAAAAGGGGGCCAGACCCATCCCCCAGTGCTGCTGCAGAGTCCCCAGTCAGCACCCCACGTGCACCCACATGCAACTGGCCTTGAGTTCTGCTTCTTCTCCCCCCACTCCCTGTTTGGAAGATGGGGCCCAGGAAGGGGAAGAGCTTGTCTGAGGTCACAAAGCCTGACAGCAGAGTCACACCCGGGACCAAGTGTCCTTGCCCAGCCTCACACCACCAGACCAAGAGGCCAGGAACCCAGACTGCAGCTCAGGGCTCTGACAACCTTCTCACACCTGCACCTGTGGCATCAACTGCCCAGTCTGCCCCTAACTCAAGATCACTGAGGCACCTGCCCTCTGAGAGCTTGCTGGGCCCCCACCCCATGATACAAAGCACAAAACACTGGTGGGACGGACAAGGCGGACTGTGGGGCAGTGTCCTTGCACACTGGCCATTAGCTCTGAGAGGACTGGCATCCAAAATAAGACAGCTATGAACAGGGAATACTACCCACAGGGACTTGCACACTGGACTTGGTCTGGGGCTTGGAGGCACCTGTGTGATGCAGTGATGCCTCAACTCCTATTTGAGGTCTGCGCACCAGAGCCCGTGGTTGACCAGATGAGACTCTGTGTTTGTTTCTTTGGTTCTCTGGCTGGGGGTTCCAGAGATTGGGCTCAAGTGCATGTGTAGGAGCTTATGTAGTTTCACCCTTTGCTTGCTGGTACATTAACCTGATCTCTCCTGCTGGCTCTGAATGTGCTGGTGGCATGGGTGGCAAGCCAGGCAGCAGGTCTCCGTGCCATCTCCTCTCGGCCCTCTCCCTGCAGAGAGGAGACCATCACCACCGTGGTGAAGAGCCCGCGTGGCCGCCTCAAGTCCCCCAGCAAGTCTCCCTCCCGCTCGCCTTCCCGGCACCCTGCCAGTTCACCCAGGTCGGGCCTGTCCGCCCCTGAGCTGCTGCATTCACCAGGGGCTGGCCAACTTCGAAGGCCAGGGGAGGAGCCAGGCTGGAAGCCCCCTGTACCCACGCTGTACGTGACAGAGCCCGGAGCCCATGCGCCAGCCCTGCCCAGGGGCACCGGGCCCAGGCCCAAGTGGGTGGAGGTCGAGGAGACCATCGAAGTCCAGGTGAAGAAAACAGGCTCCAGGGGTGCGTCTCCAGCTAGAGAGGTGCCTGGCAGCTCAGCGGGGCTTCTCTTCACGCTTCCTGGTGGGACCCCCGGAGGAGACCCCAACACAAACAACTCCAACAACAAGCTGCTGACCCAGGAGCCCCTGACCCAGGGCAGAGTCTTCTGGGTGGACGCTGGGCTGGAGACCCATGAGCTGTCCCCTCCTGGGGCCACCGAAGAGGAGGCCCCCCTGGAGGTGCAGGAGGGGAGAGGTGTCCACCTGATGGAGGAGCCCCTGGGCGCCGAGGACCTTCGAGGCTGGGACCCCAAGATCCTCACACGCGATGGCTGTGTGCTGACGCTGGCTGACCTGGAGGATTACACACCCCAGGAAGGGGAGACCTTCGGCTGCAGCAGCCCCGTGCCCAGTGTCTCCGACGACCCACCCTGCGAGGTCTCGGTGCTCCAGAGAGAGATCAGTGAGCCCACTGTGGGACAGCCCATCCTGCTCGACGTGTGGCGCCCCCCAGGCCCCCGAGCCCCGCCTGGCTTCTTCAGCTGCGTGCCCCAGGGAACAGCTCTGTCGAGGCCCCAGGTCTTCCGCCCTGTTGGTGTCTCCCGGGCTAGGGGTGCCACATCCTTCTGCACCCAAGTCCATCGCTCTGCGGACAGTGGCCAGAGCAGCTTCAAAACGGAGGTTTCCACCCACACGGTCAGCTTTGGGACAGTGGGTGAGACAGTCACCCTGCACATTCGGCCTGACGGGGATGAGGACCCCAGTCCGTCCCAGGGCTGAGGCTGCGACCCTCGACCCTCAAGGGCACAGGCGGCTGGGGGGTGAGACATTGACGCTCTCAGAGCCAGTTTACTGCGGACAGGGCTGCATGAGAGCAGCAGAAAGGGGCATGGCCTTGGGGCCTAGGACCCTGCCTGGCACCGTACCTACCTGCTTCACAGCCGCTGTGAGTTTTGAGCTCAGGAGAGGGGCCTGAAGCCAGCACCTCAGGACATGTGCTCTGACCACCCCCTGCTCTCCAGCAACTCGGGACTTCAGCTGCCTGTCCTCCCGGGGTCTTCAGCTGAGGACACTGTCCGCACAGCTGTAACCCAGATTTACTGAGAGCTGTGGGGGAACAGCAGGTAGTCTCCGTCTGGGCTGTGGTCTCCCATCTCTCTTTGCTGTGGCACACCCCTGCCCACGCCCAGGCTGCCCCATCTCAGTGGGGGCTTCTTGGGGCACATGTTCCCATGGACACGGGGTGCCCTCTGCAGACTTTCCAGGCCTCCCCTGCAGCAGGGGCCAGGGTCTGGGTGGGAAGCAGCCCCTGCTAGTTGACTCCATGATGATAATAAACTGGCTCCCACACCCTGTACTCTGCTCTTCTTGCTTCTTCCAGTGGCTCTGGAACTTGGGCGGTAGGGGCCCGCTAGGCCTAGCCCTGGGGACCAACCAGTGGCAGCCCAGGCCCCCTCTGCTGCAGCCTGGGGTGGGTCCTGGCCGTCTGAGGTCCCTGGGTGGAGGCACCGCACTCACCTGACCAGCCTGCCCGCACTCGAGCAGGCAGGCCTTCCTGCCCCTGTGCAGCCAGGCTGTTGTCAGGACAGACGATGGGGGTGTGATGTGTGGGGTCCTCCTTGGAGTGGGAAAGGACAGGGTGGGTACCATAATGCTGGAGAGGGTCCTGGGGCAGGGGAGGGCTCTAGGCAGGGGGACCTGCTGGGAATGGAGCAGTGGGCATGACTGGGCACACCTGTCCGACTACAGTGATGCCACCTGGGGCTGGCAGCCAGGCGGAGGAAGGGGCTGCACCCGAGGCTGAGGGCAGGGAGGGTCTGGTGGGAAGAGGTGGGGGCTGTGTTGGAGGCCAGGGCAGGGCCAGATGAAGGGGCAGTGACCTGGGCCAGACAGGCCCTCTGGTGGAGTCCCGTCCTGGGCGGGGGACAGGGTCTGCTATGGGAGGGCAGTAAGGGAGCCCACCCCTTGTGGGTACCCAGGCCCCTCAGTTGGCTGCAGGTTTCCCTCTATTATGGGGCTAGGTCCACTGGGCCTGGGGTCCAGAGTGAGCCATGAGGGAGGTCAGCACAGGATGAAGGGATGGCAAGAGCTGAGACCTTGGGGCAGACAGGGCACATGGAGGGTGGCCAGGCTCAGCTGCTCCTGAGGAGTTGGCGTTCTCCTGAAGGCATCTGGGCACAAGGGCAGGAGTGGTGGGGCTCTGCTCTCGGTGCCCTGGCACCATCTCTACCCACTCCCAGGCCCCTTTCTCTTTCAGGCTTCCACCTCCAGCGCCTCCTGAGAGAGGAGTGGTGGGTGGGAAGGGCAGCCTGTTCGTCTTACCTGGGCATCTCTAAGGACCGAGATAGGTTTCCTGAAGCCCCCGCTCAGGTCCTCGGTCATGTCTCACGCCTACAGGCTGACCCACTTTTCCCATAGGTGCTGCTGTCCCACCCCCAACTGCCCTGGAGCGAGTGGACCAGAGCACATCTGTCCAGAGGACACTGGTGGGCCCAGAGGCTCCGGGACCCTCTGCAGGGGACCTCGCTGGCCTGGGCCCCAGGGAGCCACTTGCTCTCCAGGAGGCCAGCCCCCAGCTCCTAGGCACTGAGGCTGCAGATGAATCTGGTGAGGCCCAGTGGCAGGCTGACTGCCAAGTACCACCTGCTCCCAGACCCCTCCTCTGTGCTGACCCAAGCCTTGGTCGCCATGGGTGCTCATCCCCTGGGAGTGAAGTGGAAGAACCCTGGGACCCAGGTATCACTGGGATCCTTGCACGGGGGCCCTGGGCGAGGCCCACCCCTCACTCAGGCTGTCACCCATCTACGAAACTAGGCAGGGGAGAGGCAGTTCAGGGAGGTTTCCACCCTGAGTACATCTGTCCTGGGTGTCAGAGACCTGGGTCAGAGCCTGGGCACCCTGTGCTCAGGGTAGGAGAGGAGGGGGGTGGAGAGGAAGGAGGAGGATACCTTGCCCCTGACAGATGCAACCCGAGGGATGCTGCCGAGGGGGCCCTCTCCACCGAGGTGCCGCACCCCCTTGTGGGATGGGGTGTGGGGGAGGTGGGCAGCCTTAGGGCTGGTGGCCCGGGCTCCCGGCTAGGACAGGTGGGTGCCCTGGAGGAGGTGCACATGCGCGGAAAGAGTCCCGGGTTTGGGGACACGGACCCTTGCGCCCCTGCTCTGCCTGTGCTCCCACCCTCTGCGCCCTGGAGGGTGACAGGGGCATGTCATTGGGGACAGCCCCCGGCGCATCCCAAGCTCTGTCTCACTAGGCCCTGGCCTCCCCCCAGCAGAGTCCAGGAAGGTGCCTGAGTCTCTCCCTCCTGGGAGCCAGGATCAGGACTCGGGGGCTCCTGCGGCGGCTCAGGAACGCATGGTGCCCATCAGGTAATGTCCCTGGCACACTGGGTGGGGCTTTCTATGAGGGGACGTCCGCGAGCAGGGCAGGAGGAGTAAGAAGTGGGCGCACAGCACCCCAGGACATTCCTCACCAGCCCCACCCCAGCCAAAGGGCAGTACAGGAGGAGAGGTGTTCGGGGAGCCCCCCCACACGTAGGGCTGGGCCCCGGTCTCTGCATTCCTTCCCATGCAGTCGGCTGCAGCCCCGGGTGGGGTGGGGCAGGGGCCCATCTTACCACCAGGGTCAGTGCCCAACCCCAGAAGTGGGTGGGTGGCAGCCAACTCACCCCGCTGCATGACCCCAGGATGGAGAGCGCGGCCTGGCCGGGGACGGAGGCCACTGAGCTCTGGGATGTCTGCAGCCACGTGTTCACAGAAACCATGCACCGGACATACGTGTACAAGGCCAGCGACCTGGGTGCCGCAGCAAGTAGGCTACGCGTGTGCCCACCGGGCAGTCGGCTGGGGGACACTTGCACGGAGGAGCCATCCGATGTGTGCCAGCCTGCTGCGGCCAGCCCCTGCGACCCCAGCCCCTGAGTCCCCTCCGAGGGGCATCCCTGGGAGGGGAGCACGGGCAGCAGGGACCTAGGTGGCCTCTCTGCAGCCTAAGTTAGCATGCCCTGTGTGCCTGCCTCCAAGAGCCGGGTTCAAGCGGGGAGACAGTGCTCAGAAGCACCTCCTAACTGTCCGGAGCCTGCGCCGAATCAGGAGGCCGAGGGGCTCTGTCACCCTGAGGGTCTCGGGGCCTTGAGATGCCTGGGGCGCCCGGGGCGCCTGGGTCCCTGCCAGCCCACCGGGGTCTCGATGAGGCAGGCCCCCGCTCACAGACTGCAGTGTGGGCTGCGGTGGGCGGCTGTGCTGTGCAGCCTGGACTTCTCCCCACGGTTTTCCTCCGTACCCCCAGGACCCCCGTCCATGCAGGTCACCATCGAGGATGTGCAGGCACAGGGAGGCAGCACAGCGGAATTCCAGGCCGTCATCGAGGGCAACCCGCAGCCCACAGTGACCTGGTATAAGGTAGAGATGCGTGTGGGGTGGGGCCTGTATCTGGAGGGAGAGTGTGAAATCCCCACTGGACATGGCGTGTCACTCACGGAAGGCAGGGTGGGCTGATGGTCACCCCCCACCTGTGCCTCCAGGACAGCGTCCAGCTGGTGGACAGTGCACGGCTCAGCCAGCAGCAGGAAGGGACAACCTACTCCCTGGTGCTGAGGGATGTGGCCCAGCACGATGCCGGTGTCTACACCTGCCTGGCCCAAAACGCTGGCGGCCAGGTGCTGTGCAAGGCGGAGCTGCTGGTGCACGGAGGTGAATCAGGGAACCCTTCCCAGGTCCCAGTCTGGCTTCCTGCGGGCGTGGGGTCCTGTGGGCTCCGCAGATACTACAGAGCTGGGGAACAGTGAGGGGGTGGTGATCTCTGTCCACACTGGCACCTGAACTGCTCCCTGGCTACGGGGGCCAGCGAAGCTGGGGTTCGGGAGAAGCAAAGCTATCGGAGGAAAAACTGCACTCTTTTCTACGAAGTCAAGGAAGAGATTGGGAGGGTATCCTCCCCCCAGCCCCAGGAGCCCCGCCCCCCATCCCTGCCCAGGCCCCCCAAACTTGGCCTGCTGGAAGTCCCTAGCCCAGGACCCCCAGCCCCAACCCCTGGAACCCTGCCCTCTGGAGTCCTGGTCCCCCATAAATCCTTACCTCCTGAGGACCCCACTTATCAGAGGCCACCCCTCAGTCCTCTCTGGACGTCTGGGAACCCTGTCCAGCCCCCAGCCCCTGCTCTCCCAGAATCCTCCCCTCTCAGGAATCTGCCCGCCTATCAACTGCAACCCGCCCTTTGGGAGCTCCCATCTCCTGGAAGACCCCCCCCATCCCATCCTCACCTCCCCCCTCCAGTACCCTCCCATCCTCAGGAGCCCGTACCCTGGGACCCCTACCTCTAGGATGCCCTTGCCTCCCCAGTACCCGCTCCCCCAGCCCCTGCCCTCCAGGAACCCCACCTCCCTCCTTGGAGCCGTCTTGGGAGTCAGCGTGGGCTCCCCTCTTCCTAGAGGTGTGTTCGGCTTTGTGAAGAGGGTGCAGCACAAGGGCAACCAGATGTCCTGTGCTGCCAAGTTCATCCCCCTGCGGAGCAGGACGCGCACCCAGGCTTACCAGGAGCGAGATGTGCTGGCAGAGCTGAGCCACCCGCTGGTGACCAGGCTGCTGGACCAGTTTGAGACGCGCAAAACGCTCATCCTTGTCCTGGAGCTGTATCCAGCCCCCAGCCCCAAGAGCACCAGGAGGGAGCAGGCCTCGGGAGAGCAGGGTCCCCGGGCGCTGCGGGCCTGCGATCCTGGTGTCCTCGGTCCTGCTTTCCTTGTGGGGGCCGCCAGCCGGGCCTCCCACGTTCCTGTTACGATGCTGTGTGACTAACCAGCCCAGACATGGCCCTGTCCTCATAGCCCGCTGCCCCTTGAGTCGGGAATTCGGGCAGGGTTGCGTCCAGAGGGCCCTTCCCCTGCTCCATGTGGCCTCTCTCAGCAGGAGGTCAGGCTGCTTAAATGGCAGCCCTGAGCCCCAGTGCTGGGATTCCTACTTTGTCCACTCAGGCTCGAGGGAGGGCCACACCCCTTCCCTGCCCCCTCTGGGTCTCACCCCACCACTTGCTAAGAGTCTCTGGGTGTCACGTGCTCACTCCCCCCCACCTCCCCCAGTCAGCGACCCCGGTCCCTGCAGGGGGTGTGGGCTTTGTGCAGAGTAGAGGATGTCTCCACTCCAATGCTGCTGCTGGCTCCTGGCCTCAGCTCTCTCCTCAACCCAGAGGGCCCACCTCCCCAGCATGGACCCCACTTCCACCCCAAGATAAGACTTGCCGTGGGGTGTGGAGCCGGGTGGGTTCCAGGCCCCAGAGCTTTCCTTGACCTGAGCCCCAGGTGCTCATCAGAGGAACTACTGGACCGCCTGTTCAAGAAGAGTGTGGTGACAGAAGCTGAGGTGACTGCAGCCTGAGCTGTCTGCCCAGCCAATAGGCTTGCATGTATACCCACCAGGCCTCCTACTCCCCCACCCCCCGCCCTGACCTCCTGCCCAGCAGACACAACCTCCCCTCTTGCACAGTGTGCCCCAGCTCAGAGACCTTTTGGGGTCTCCAGGGCCTCACAAAGTGTCACAGCTCCTCAGTCAACTCTCAGAGACCTCCTGGCCAGGGCTCACCACTTCCCTCTCCCAGCCTGCACCTGGCCAATGGGCCAACCCTTGCCTTCTCCTGAAACATCAAGCTTCCTGTTTTGCTCAGGCGGCTTCACACATCCAAACCCTCCCCACCTTCAGGGCCCAGAGGAATCCCCGTGCCCAGGCTCATGGGGTCTGGGAGGCTTTGTACTGCCTCTGGGACTGTCCCAGGCTTGGAGGGAGTGGAGGTGTAGGTTGGCGCAGGGCAGGGAGGAAAGTGGAGGGGAGGGGGAGGTCGAGGCTGACTGTCTTGCCTGAGCAACGGCCTTTGCCACTGTAGGTCAAGGTCTACATCCAGCAGCTGGCGGAGGGGTTGCATTACCTGCACAGCCACAGCATCCTCCACCTGGACATAAAGGTACTTGCCCCAACCACCCTGCATCCCCAGAGCCCTGGGAAGGGCAGATGGGAGCCTGGGGCCTGCAGGCTGGAAAGGCACAGGCCCACCATTTCCAGTTTTCCTGTCAGGATTTACTCACTTTTGGGGATGGGAAGCTCACTACTTTACCAGCAGCCCCTGCAGGTGGGGTGTGGCTCTGATAGAGCAGAGGCTGCCCCCAAATGGTACTGAAACCTGCTCCGGCCCCCACTGGCCTCTTCGTCTCATGGAACAGCTCCTCAGACTCCCTAGTTCCCCACCCCCCCCACCCCCCCCACCCCCCCCACCGCCGCCGCCAGACCTGGCAGCCCCAGGAGTCACCTCCGTAGGTTGAGGCCTTACCCACTCATGACTCTGTCCAACAGCCCCCCAACATCCTGATGGTGCATCCTGCTCGGGAAGACATTAAAATCTGCGACTTTGGCTTTGCCCAAAGAATCACCTTGGCAGAGCCAAAGTATAGCAAGTACGGGTGCCCTGAGTTTGTGTCCCCCGAGATCATCGAGCAGACCCCTGTGAGCGAGGCCTCTGACATCTGGTGAGTGGGTGGGCCCCCGGGACAAAGCCACCGTGACAGCCCATCCCCCCGTTCGCTGCCTGCCGTCCTCTCAGCTGCCATTCCCCTCATGCCCCTCACCTGGGGGCCCGGCTGGGTGACTCACAGCTGTGGTTTTGTTCCCACAGGGCTATGGGGGTCATCTCCTACCTCAGGTGAGCAGACCTGTGCCCCATCTCCTCAGAAGAAATCCCAGACCCCACCCGCAGGCCCTCCCCAGATCAGAGACCTGGGGCCCAAGGGGCTGCTAGTTTGGAAACAAGCAGTGGGCCACCTCGGATAAGGGGTTGTGCCCGGGCTTTTCGCCATACCCTGTCCCAGAGGAGCTCTTCCCAGTGGGGTCGTGAGACACAGCGCTGAGCTGTTTGCTCAAAGGGTCTGGCTGGTTTGCCCAGAGGCCCTCCATCGCAGTTACTGCCCTGAGGACGCTGCTGGTGTAGACTGAGCCCAGATCCTCACTCCGGCCTGGGCCTGCATACCTGGGCAAGTCTGAGACACTTGCTGGGACTCTGAGGGAACTAAGAGGCCATCCCAGTCAGGGCTCCGCCGACCAACCCCAGGGGACCCAGAGATCCGGGGTCATGTCTGAGGGCCCGACACTCACTGTGCTTTCAGCTTGACCTGCGTGTCCCCATTTGCGGGCGAGAGTGACCGGGCCACCCTCTTGAACGTGCTGGAGGGGCGGGTGTCCTGGAGCAGCCCGGTGGCTGCACACCTCAGCCCGGATGCTCAGGACTTTATCAAGGCTGCCCTGCGGAGGGTCCCGGAGTGAGTGTGCATGCCCTGCTCTCCTCCCCCACCCCCTGTTCAGGGGACCAGCCCACCCCTGGCCTGACCCCTGGCTTGGTCTCCCCACAGAAGCCGGCCCAGTGCAGCCCAGTGCCTTGCCCACCCCTGGTTCCAGGTGAGTAGGGTGAATCTGGCAGGCCTGGCGAACAGGGAGGAAAAATGAGGCCAAGAGGGGTGGGGCCTATCGGGCTCTAGGGTACACCAGGCTCTCCCCTCACACACGTGGCTTTCTCACCCGGGCCCCCCAGAAGTCCCTGCCCGCGGAGGAGGCCCACTTCATCAACACCAAGCAACTCAAGTTCCTCTTGGCGCGCAGCCGCTGGCAGGTGAGCCCGGAGGCAGTGCGGGGCGGGGAGGGATGGCTGAGGGGGAGGCAGGGAGGGGCCTAGAGGCAGGTGGGGGGGAGCTAAGGTCCCAGGGCTGGCTGTGCGCAAGGAGGTGGGGGCTGGGCATCCTTCTTTCAGAATCTGTGTTCCCTGAGCTGACAGGACGGACATAAACACAGAGTCCTGGGGTGTAGGGAATGAGGACAAGGGCTTTTAACGCGCCCCGCCTCCTGGGTCCCCCATCTGGGGGCACCGGAGTCGGGAGGCAGTGGGCACTGGCTGACGCCCCTCGTCCCCGCGCCCCCAGCGCTCCCTGATGAGCTACAAGTCCATCCTGGTGATGCGCTCCATCCCCGAGCTGCTCCAGGGCCCGCCGGACAGCCCGTCGCTCGGCGTGGCCCGGCACCTGCGCGGCGACGCCAGCGCCTCTTCCAGCAGCTCCTCGTCCTCCGACAACGAGCTGGCACCCTTTGCCCGGGCCAAGTCTCTGCCACCCTCCCCGGTGACGCACTCCCCGCTGGTGCACCCGCGAGGGTTCCTGCGGCCGTCGGCCAGCCTGCCGGAGGAGGCCGAGGCCTGTCCTCCCCAGGAGGCCGCGCCTCGGCCCGCATCGCCCGGGGGCGCCGAGCCCGCAGCTGCCCCGGGCTGCGTGCCCCGGCAGAGCGTCATCCGCAGCCTGTTCTACCAGCAGGCCGGCCAGAGTCCGCCGCGCGGGGCCACGGCCACGGCCACGGCCACGGCCACGGCCACGGCCACGGCCACGGGCAGGCGGGTGCCTGCGCGGCGGAGGCACCTGCTCAAGGGCGGCTACTTCGCGAGCACGGTGCCCGGCCTGCGCGAGCCGCTGCTGGAGCACCGCGCGCTGGAGGAGGCGGCCGCCCGAGAGGAGCCGCCCTCCTTCGACACTTCCCCGCGGCCGCCCAGCGCCAGCACCGGCGCCCCCGGAGGCCCCTGCCGCAGCCATTCCCTGGGCTCCGACTGTCCCCGTGGGGCCGGCCCCTCCGGAGAGGGGCTGCCATGAGGGGCAGGGTCCCTCCCCCACCCTCTGGGGCCTCCAGGCTGAAACAGGAGGGGAGAGCGTGCCCAGAGAGGTGGCAGGTGCCCCGGAAATGGAGTCTCGGGAAGGGCAGAGACCATTTTCATCTTCTGGTGGAGATCCTTGCCTTGCTGAGCAAGAGGGGTCCTCCCAGGACAGCTGTGGGGGGCAGCCGGCTCCTTTTTATCACCCCCAGAGGGGCCCTGTCACCCGGAAGGGCTCTGATCCCCCTGAGGCTGTTGCACCCCAAGCTCCTGGCTCCTTCCTCTCCCGGGGACTGCAGGCTCCCTCCTCCCCAGCTCAAGCAAGCCTCCAGCCAGGCCCTAAGATGGGGCTGGAGGCCACCCTGTTCCCTGGGAGGCCCCGTCCCCCCAGCTCTCCAGGGCCAGCCTCCCCATCTGGCATGGCGCCCGGCTCCTCCCTGGACACCAAGGATCTAGCCCAGGAGACAGAGGGCCTATGGGAGTCTGAGCCCAGCCCACCTCAGCCTCGGGAGCAGGCGACCTCACGGAAGTTCTCCCTTGGGCACCATGGTGGTTATGCAGGGGTGGCCGGCTATGGCGCCTTTGCCTTTGGCGGGGATGCGGGAGGCATACTGGGACAGGGACCCCTGTGGGCCCGGATGACCTGGGCCACCTCTCAGTCCTCGGAGGAACAGGACGAAACGGGGGCCGACAGCCCACTCCCCCAGGCCAGCGTGGTGCCCTTGCCAGAGGGCAGCGGGGGCAGGGGGTCCCAGGTGTCGCTGGTGCAGATCCAGGACCTGTCAGGGGACATGGAGGCAGCAGACACCATGTCTCTGGATATATCGGAGGTGGAGCCTGCCTACCTCAACCTGTCGGACCTGTACGACATCAAGTACCTTCCCTTTGAGTTCATGCTCTTCAGGAAGATCCCCAAGCCAGAGCTGCCACCATCCCCAGCGTCGGAGGCCAGGGAGGAGCTGGCTGAGCTCCCAGAGGCCACGTGGTCCTGGCAGGGCGGGCTGGGCCTGCCTGCCAGCCTGGAGATCAGGGAAGAGCTGGAGGACAGCGAGGCCCTGTTCAGGGAGGCAGGTGGCAGCAGGAAGCGCAAGTGGTCACCCCCCTCCAGTGGCCGGCGCTTCCCCGGGCGGCATGCCCTGCTGGACGAGCCTGTGGAGCTGGGGCTGCGCCAGAAGGTGAGGGCCTCAGTGGCCCACATCTCCAGCCTCCTAAGAGGCAGGCCTCAAGGTGAGTCTCCCCCCACCCCGCCATCATGGGGGCTTCTGGGCCTGGCCAGGTGTGCCCTCTGTACCTTGGGGCACCTTGCACACACGCCCAGGAATCAGCTCAGGGGCCCACCTGAGGCAGGAAGCCCTCCCTGCCCCTGCCTGTGCCTGTGCCTGTGCCTGTGCCTGTGCCTGTGCCTGTGCCGCCCCCCCCCCATGCCCATGGGCTTCTGTTCCCAAGGCCATCTTCTTGGCTTCATCCCCTCCCATGCGCCTCTGAGACCTAGTGCTGGGACCTGGGGCAACTGCAGGGCTTACACCCCCGCGGAGAGGATCCTTCCGGGGCCAGTCTTCCTGACCCCTGACCCTCACTGACCCCACCCGACCCCAGATCTCAGCCAGGACTTCCGGGCACCTGTACCCCTGAGCTGCTGGCCTTACTTGCCAGAGGTCCTCCCACTCAGAATGGACAGGTGCTGACAGGCTAGAGAGGGGGTGGACTCCTCAGCAGATTTAGTTTGTTTCCCCCAAAACCCCTAGGATCTGGGCTTTCCTGCGACATGGGAATCTGGCAGTGGGTGGTAGGTGGCCCCAGAGTCCTCCTCCCGTGCTCCTGATGGCAGTGCCAGGCAGCTGGCTGCCCAAAGGGGCCAGCCTCTTGGTGTGACCTCCCTTGGTCCTGTCCTCCATGCAGGTCCAGAGAAGGAGGGTCCCCCTAGGAAAAAGGCAGGCCTAGTTTCCTTCCGGCTGTCGGGTCTGAAGAGCAGAGACCAAGGTGAATGTGCTTCCTGGGACTGGGTCCCCCTGCTGCCCAGGAGACCACAGTGCCCAGACCAGCAGGGGGCAAGCTAAACCCACAGTGACTTGAGCCCAGATGGGCTGCTCTGCTCCCTGGCTGTCCAGACTGAGCACTTCCTGGAGGAGGTGCTAGTGTTGAAGATGAACTGGGTGGGGGTGGGCTTCTCTCCAGTATCCCCACCTCGGGTTGTATGCTCTGCCTGAGATCACCTCTGACACTTGGTCCACGTCCCTTCTCTAGCGCCATCCTTCCTAAGGGAGCTTGCAGATGAGACCGTGGTCCTGGGCCAGTCTGTGACTCTTGCCTGCCAAGTGTCGGCCCAGCCAGCTGCCCAGGCCACCTGGGAGAAAGGTAAGGAGCTATCCTGGTGTCGGCGAGGAGGTGGAAGCGTGGCAGGACAGCAGGGGGTATTCCTTGACTTCATGGCCATCAACTTACAGAGGGAAACTGAGGCCCAGATAGGGTGTGGGGCTGGGTGTTTTGAGCTTCCCCCCAGGCTTGCTTTGTCCCAATGCAGATGGGGTCATCCTGGAGAGCAGCAGCCGCCTCCTCATCTCCTCCACACTAAAAAATTTCCACCTTCTGACCATCCTGGTGGTGACCACTGAGGACCTAGGCGTGTACACATGCAGCGTGCACAATGCCCTGGGCACGGCAGCCACCACAGCTGTCCTCCGGAAGGCAGGTGTGTGTGGGCCTCGCCAGGCCATCTCAGCGGGGACTGCTCCAGGCTATCACCCCCTCCCTGAGTTTCCAATGGGTCAGGCAGGCCTGGTCTTAGACCCCACTGATCCCTAGAGGGGGTCAGATGCCCTGCTCTACCACTCAGCCAAGCTGAGGCATCTCTGACCAGAACTTGGGGTGGGCAGGGGCCTGCGAGTGAGGGCCACTCCATGGGCTCCTGAATGTACACGAGATGAAGGAACCTTGTGGTCAGGCAGGCAGGCACCTCCTGAGCCTCCAGCAGGAGAGGCACTGGGTCCCTCTGCCAGGCAGCACTGGAATGGGACCCTGGAATCTATGGGACCAGGGGAGGGTGGGCTCAGGGCCTGACAGTAGGATGCGGGGGTGGGGACAGGGGCTCAGAGCTGCATGGGCCGCCCCTGGAAGCCCACCTCAGACCCCTGACTGTGGGCCCTGCAGAGCGCCCCTCGTCCTCCCCGCGCCCAGACATTGGGGAGGTGTATACTGATGGGGTCTTGCTGGTCTGGAAGCCCATGGAGTCCTATGGCCCTGTGACCTACATTGTGCAGTGCAGCCTAGAAGGTAGGGCTGTGCCTGTGCTGTCGACTCCTGGGGGGCCCTGTGGCTAGTGGAGGGAGGGGGGGTGCGGGAAGTACCAGGCCAATCTGTGCTTCTGGGCACCCAGGGGGGAAGGACTGCCCCCCTCTGTGCTCCTGGGCAGCCTTACTCGGGGAGGGGTCTCTCCACCTGGGACTCTGGAGTGGGGAGCCCTGGAGCTACCCCTCACCCGCTCTGTGTGGCCAGGTGGCAGCTGGAGCACGCTGGCCTCAGACATCTTTGATTGCTGCTACCTGGCCAGCAAGCTTTCCAGAGGCGGTGTGTATGCCTTTCGGACTGCGTGCGTCAGCAAGGCCGGCATGGGTCCCTACAGCAGCCCCTCGGAGCAGGTCCACCTGGGAGGGCCCAGGCACCTGGGTGAGCCTCTGCAGGACCTGGGGGTGTCGGGTGGTGGTCCCTTTGGAATTGCCCTGCCACTTCACCAAAATACATACAATCACTGGGAAGGTTTTTTCTGGCCAGTATGCTGCCCCTCCTCCCTCCCCAAATGGTCCAAAGAATGAGAGGCCAAGTGTGGGTTTAAAGGGTGCCAGGGAAGGGGTGCGAGGAGACAAGGTTGGGGAGCTGGGGCTAGGGGGAGTCACTGGCTTCCCTTCCCACAGCCTCCGAGGAGAGCTGCCCTGCACCGCCAGCCCAGCCGCTCCCCAGCACGCAGACCTTCGCCTTCCAAACACAGATCCGAAGGTGCGGCCGCTCCCCAATCCGCTCTCCAGCATCTGCACCCCCTCCTTCCCTGCTGGGCTTCCTCCCTGCAGCTCTGAGAGTGGGAAGGGGCTGCAGGAGGGCACGTGGGGGACAGGAGGGGTCCTCAGTAGCCTGGCCTGTGCCTCCTCTCCAGGGGCCGCTTCAGCGTGGTGCGCCAGTGCCGGGAGAAGGCCAGTGGACGGGAGCTGGCCGCCAAGATCATCCCCTACCGCCCGGAGGACAGGACAGCCGTGCTTAGCGAGTACGAGGCCCTCAAGGGCCTGCGCAACCCGCACTTGGCCCAGCTGCAGGCCGCCTACCTCAGCCCCCGGCACCTGGTCCTCATCTTGGAGCTGTGCTCAGGGCCGGAGCTGCTCCCCTGCCTGGCCGAGCGGTGAGGGGCCTCTTTGCCCTGATGCAGGCTGGGGGAGGAGGGGCACAATGCCGGAGGCTCACTTCCTGGCTCGCATCCGCCTCCACCAGGAAGGGGCTCAGCGAAACCCACCAAGCTGAGCCCTCCCCTGTGCCCCCAGGGCCTCCTATTCAGAATCTGAGGTGAAGGACTACCTGTGGCAGATGCTGAGCGCCACCCAGTACCTGCACGCACAGCGCATCCTGCATCTGGACCTCAGGTCCGAGAACATGATCGTCACAGAGTACAACCTGCTCAAGGTGGTCGACTTGGGCAACGCCCAGAGCCTCGCCCAGGAAAGGGTCCTGCCCTCAGAGAGGTTCAAAGACTATGTGGAGACCATGGGTGCGTGGGGTAAGGGGTGGGCCAGGAGCCAGTCCCTCCTGCAGTCCCGCCTCCAGGCCTCACCTGTGCACCTGCTTTCCCAGCCCCGGAGCTCCTGGAGGGCCAGGGTGCCGTTCCACAGACTGACATCTGGGCCATCGGTGTGACGGCGTTCATAATGTGAGTCACCGCGTGACAGGGGCGGGAGGCGGGGGGGTTGTGGGGGCTGGTGTGGGATCCATGAGGATGACCTCAGACCCCCTTGTGACCCGAGTCCCCTACCTCGCTCCCGCGCAGGTTGAGCGCTGAGTACCCAGTGAGCAGCGAGGGCACGCGAGACATGCAGAAAGGCCTGCGCAAAGGGCTCATCTTGCTGAGTCGCTGCTACGCGGGGCTGTCCGGGGGAGCCGTGGCCTTCCTGCAGAGCACGCTGTGCGCGCACCCCTGGTAAGGTGGCCCTGTCCCCCCACCCCGACCCTGCCGCCCCCAGCTGCCGGTCCTGCCCATCCCCCTTGTGCCCTGCACCCGCCAGAGCAGGCTGACACCCCACCACCACCACCACCACTCTCCATGCTCCAGGGGCCGGCCGTGTGCATCCAGCTGCCTGCAGTGCCCATGGCTGACAGAGGAGGGCCCAGCCTGCTCCCAGCCCTCCGCGGTGACCTTCCCCACAGCACGTCTGCGTGCCTTTGTGCGAGAGCGTGAGAAGAGGCGGGGCTGCTGTACAAGAAGCACAACCTGGCCCAAGTGTGCTGAGCGCTCGGTCCTGCAGTGTATAGGTGGGGGGGTCACACTGCTAGGCTGCACACCTGGCCTGGCCTCCACACGCAGTATATGCACAGACACTAATAAAAACCAGAACCACAGGAGGCATCATCTATTTCACTGTTTTGTTTTGGGGAAGAGGGTGAGGGCCCTGCACCTTCCTGGGGTTTGGGGAACCGTCCATTTAGCAGAACTGCCCTTCCTTGGTTCATGGATTGAAAGAGGCTGTCAGGGCAGTCTCACTAGAGGTAACCAGCTTATAAAGAGAGCCTCCCCCCGCCCCCCCCCCATCAAAGCCCAGGCACATTGCAACTGGGCACGTTGGTCTCTCAGCCTCAGCCCACCTGCCAGTCTCTGAGGCATCTCCACCGGAACTCCTGAGCTCCAAGGTGCACAGATCGAATGGTTCCCGTGGTGAGCTTCCTGGCCTCTGGTCCTCCATCAAGGCCTCCAGGAAAGGCCACTGCAGCCCTTTCTTGGTCTGAGGCAGGAGGAGCCTGGTGAGTGACCAGCCAGGCCACCCAGAGGGATTTGAGAGGTGGGCTCAGAGCTAGGGAAGGTGTTATAGAAGCTGCTGAAGGAGCCTGAGCCACGGTGGCTTTTCCCCCACCCCGATCCTGCCAGATGTTCCTGCTGCCCACAAGAGGAATCCTGTTTGGGAAGTGTGTGTGATCCTGAGGTTGCGTGAGCATGTGCCACCTTGTTTGATCTCCACCAGCTCCAATTCTACTTGCTGTCAGGAATGGTCTCCCAACACCAGTGCTCCTTCAGGGGCAGTCCACTGTGCCCAGGGCCTATGTTGGAGCGCTGTGCTGTGGAGTTCCCCCACAGGGCACCTTCCTGTACCCTGGCCATTCCTGTTCAGACGCATAGTGAGCACACCTCCAGTCTCGGCCCTCACGGTGCCCTGTGGCACCTGCGTGTGAGCCCGCTCCTTCCTCTCCATCACACACTCGCCCAGCCCCAGCTCACCATGTCCACAGAAAGCTTGGCTCTATATGTTGGGACCAGGTGACCCTTACATCCTTGTCTTTGGAGGATGCATTTCTTTGGTGACCTCATCTGTGCTGTGTGCTGGGATGACTTGCTCTTGTCTAATCCTGTAGAGATCAAATTCTGCAAGTTGAGCAGAGCTCTGACTCTCACACTGAGAGACACTTGCTGGGGCTGGACAGAGGCAATGGGTCTTCCAGATCCCCAGGAGCTCAGCTTTCCTGGGTCTATGCTGGGCTGGCCTTGCTCCTTGAAAGCCCAGGTCTCCTTGTGCATGCTGCCTTGGTACTCGGTACCAGTGCTTCTTGTGAAACAGCTAGTGGCTTGCCTAGGACTCACCTTGGTAACATCCCATAGCACGGGCCATGCCACATCCTCACTCACTCCTCCCATGACTCTCCTCTCCTCTCCTCTCCTCTCCTCTCATTCGGGGTGGCCCTCTTCCCGACTGAACCTTGCCTGATAAATCCACTCAAACCCAAATTCCCTCTATTTTAAGTATTTTATTGGCAGGTTGTTTCTAAAGATCAAATAAAATGTACTGCATTTTAAACAGTCACATCATATTTTATTATATGCTTTTACAATTAAGCTTTTATTATGAGACTAGAAGCCTAGTGCACAAAAATTTGTGCACTCAGGGGGGTCCCTCAGCCCAGCCTATGCCCTCTTGCAGTCTGGGAACCCTCAGAGGATGTCCACCTGCTGGCTTACATCGGGCCCAAGCTGGCAGTCAGACATCCCTCTGGCAGCCCGGCAGCCCTCGGGGGATGTCCACTTGCCAGCGGGGAGCAGGCCTAAGCTGTAGTCGGACATCCTGAGGAGGCAGGAGAGGCTCCCACCACCACCGCTGTACTGGCAGCCATCAGCCTGGCTTGTGGCTGAGCAGAGCTCCCCCTGTGGGAGCGCACTGACCACCAGGGGGCAGCTCCTGCATTGAGCATCTTCCCCCTGGTTGTCAGTGTGTGTCATAGTGACCAGTCATTCCCAGTCATTCTGCTGTTAGGGTCAGTTTGTATATTACCCTTTTACTATATAGGATAGAGGCCTGGGGCACGGGTGGGGCTGGCTGGTTTGCCCTGAAGGGTGTCTCTGATCAGGATGGGGGTCCTGCTGGGGTGCCTGGCCAGCCTGGGTGAGGGGCTGATGGGTGTTTGCAGGCTGGTCACACCCCTTTCAGGGTGGGGGTCCCCACTGGGGTGCCTGGCCAGTCTGGGTGAGGGGCTGATGGCTGTTTGCAGCTAGTCACACCCCCTTCAGGGTGGGTGTCCCCACTGGGGTGCCTGGCCAGCCTGGGTAAGGAGCTGATGGCTGTTTTCAGGCTGGTCAAGCCCCCCTGCAGTGGGAACCCTCACCCCATGGAGGTTTGGCCAGCCTGGGTGAGGGGCTGATGGCTGTCTTCAGGCTGGCCACACCCCCTTTGGGGTGGGGGGTCCTCACTGGAGTGCCTGGCCAGTCTGGGTGAGGGACTGAGGACCGTTTTCAGGCTGGCCAAGCCCCCCGGCAACGGAAGCTCCCAGCCTCTCCTTTTTTTCTTTTTTCTTTTTTAATTCTGGGATTTATTTACCTTCTATAATGGAAACTTTGTAGCCTTGAGAGGAGCTCAGAGCCGGCCAGGGCGGGCGGGAGGGAAGCCTCCTGCTCACTCCAGCTCCATGGCCATGGCTGGCTGAAAGCAGGTATCTGGGGTTTATTTATCTTCTATAATTGAAACTTTGTTGCTTTGAGTGGAGCTCAGAGCCAGGCCGCGGCAAGCGGGAAGCTTGGCTTCCTCCATCATTGGGGCAACCAAGCCTCCTGCTTGCTCCAGCTCCGTGGCTGCCGGCCGCCATCTTGGTTGGGTTAATTTGCATATAGTCGCTCTGATTGGCTGGTGGGCGTGGCTTAAGGTGTCTCGAAGGTACGGTCAATTTGCATGTTTGTCTTTTATTAGTGTAGATCATTGTTGAATCACATGCAGTTGAAAGAAATAATACAGAGAATCCAGGTGTCACTTACCCAGGTTCCCCAATGGTAATATTTTGCAAACCTCTAGTGCAGTGGTTCTCAACCTTCGGGCCCTTTAAATACAGTTCCTCATGTTGTGACCCAACCATAAAATTATTTTCATTGCTACTTCATAACTGTAATGTTGCTACTGTTATGAATCGTAATGTAAATATCTGATATGCAGGATGGTCTTAGGCGACCCCTGTGAAAGGGTCGTTCGACCGCCAAAAGGGTCGCGACCTACAGGTTGAGAACTGCTGCTCTAGTGCAATTTGACAGCCAGGATAGCAACATTGATACAATAAACCTACAGAACATGTTTATCATCAAGTGGAGCCCTCATACTACCCCCCTTTTTTTTAACAACCACACCCACTTTCTTCTCACCCTTAACACTCCTTAACCCTGGCAACCAACAATTGGTCTTGAATTTATATACTTTTGTCATTTTACACTTGATCTTAGCCAAAGGCCAAGAGGAGATATACTTTTGTCATTTTAAGTGTTATATAAACAGAGTAACCCTGATGTGACCTTTTGAGGTTGGCTTTTTTTCACCAAGCATAATCCTCTGGCAACTGGTGAATGAGGTGGCATATGGCAATGGGTCATTCCTTCTTATTGGTCTAACACCATTTCTTTAGACACTCACCCACGGAAGGGCATTGGGGTCGTTCCCAGTTTGTGGCTGTTTCAGGTGAAGCTGCTCTAAGCATTTGTGTACAGATTTGCATGTGAACATAAATCTTCCTTGCTCTGGGAAGGGCACACGTGTGCAAGTGCTGCAATTCCCTTTGCATCTTTATCTTCTCTTGGGTGAGAGGTCTGTTCGCGTCTTTTGACCATTGTCTAATTGGCCTATTTATTTTCTGTTGAGTTTTAAGAGATGTGAATATATTCTGGATATTAGTCCTTTCTCAGATATGTAGCTTACAAATATACTAGTATTCTCCCACTTTGTACCTGTCTTTTTGTCCTCTTAAATATAGAATTTAAAGAGCAAAAGTTTTAATATTTAAAAGCATCTTAATAACATAAAATTTACCACTTTTAAGTGTAAAGTTCTGTATTGTTAATTACGTGCACATTGTTGTGTAACCATCACCAACCATTTCCACGATTTTTCATCGTGTAAAACTGAAACTCTACACCCATTAAGCAACAACTCCCTATCCCCCCCTTAACCCCGACCCCTGGCAACCACCATTCTGCTTTCTGTTTCTATGAATTTGACTACTCTAGACATCTCATATAAGAGGAATCACACTGTATCTTTTTGTGTGTGACTGGCTTATTTCATCTAGCATAATGTCTTCAAGGTTCATCCATGTTGTAGCATGTGTGAGAATTTCCTTCCTTTTCAGGCTGAATAATATTCCACTGTATGAATAGATCACATTTATTTATCCATTCATCTGTCAATGGATATTTGTCAATGCTTCTACCTCAAGCAATTATTGTGTGACAATAAACATGCGTGTACAAATCTCTCTTTGAGGTCCTGCTTTAAATTCTTTTGGGTATATATCCAAATGTGGGATGGTGGGCAATACAGTAGTTTTTTTTTAACTTTTTGAGAAACTACCCCACTGTTTTCCATAGTGGCTGCACCATTTTACATTCCAACGAACAGAGTACTGTTTAAGCGTTTCTATTTCTCCACATCCTTATCAACATTTCTTTTCTTTTCTTTTCTTTTTTTTAATGGTAGCTATCCTAATGGGTGTGAGATGCTATCTCATTGTGATTTTGATTGCATTTCTCTAATGATTAGTGATGTTGAGCATCTTTTCACATATTTGTTGGTCATTTGTATATCTCTTTTGGAGAAATGTATATTCAAGTCCTTTGTACATTTTCTGCTTGGGTTATTTTTGGTGTTGTTGAGTTGTAGGAGTTCTTTATATATTCTGGATATTAATCTCTTATCAAATATAGAATTTGCAATTATTTTTCCCCTTCCATAGGATATCTTCTCACTTTGTTGATTCTGTCCTTTGACGGAAAGATGTTTTAATTTTGATGTCCAAGTAGAAAAAGAAATCCTAAAATTTGAATGAAACCACAAAAGATTCCCAATAGGCAAATAAATCCCAAGAAAGAGAAAAAAGCAGGATGCTTTTTTCTGACTTCAAGCTATATTACTCAAAACAGCATGGTACTGACATAAAAATAGATACATCATAGACAAATGGAACAGAATGAAGACCCCAGAAATAAACCCATGTGTATATGATCAATTAATATTTGACAGCGGAGCTAAGAATACTCAGTGGAGAAAAATATAGTCTCTTCAATAAATGAAACTAGATCGCTATATTATACCACTCATAAAAATTCAAAATGGATTAAAGACTTAAATGTAAGACCTGAAACCATAAAAGTAGAAGAAAGCATAGAGAAAAGGCTCCTTGACATGGGTCTTGGTAATGATTTTTTAGATGTGACACTTAAAGCACAAGGAACAAAATATAAAATAAACAAGTGGAACTATATCAAACTAAATTCTGCATAGCAAAAAATTATCAATGAAATGAAAAATTTCTATGTATGAAATGTTAGAAAATACTTGCAAATCATACATCTGATGAGGGGTTAATATCCAAAATATATAAAGAATTCTAACAACTAATATCAACAACAATAATAATACAATTAAATATGAAGGACCTGAATAGACATTTTTCCCAAAGACAATATTCAAGTGGCCAACAAGTGCATGAAAACATCCTCAGCATCACTAATCATCAGGAAAATGCAAGTAAAACCTACAATGAGACATCACTTCCTGCCTGTTAGAATGGCTATCATCAAAAAGACAAGAGATAAATGCTTGTGAGAATGTGGAGCAAAAGGAATCCTTGTGCAATATTGGTGGGATAGCAAATTGGTATAGCCACTATGGAAAACTGTGGAGGTGCCTCAAAAAATTAAAAATACAATC